CTTGTTGTCCGCCCTGGATGCTCAGTCAGGAGGTTGGACGGGGAGAGACAGCAGAGTAAAACAATCCAGAACATTCTATTCATCCCTGCCAAAAATAGAGCTTATCTCTCTGAAAAATAAACAAATCCAACTCAAATATCAGCTTTTTGAAGAGCTGAGGACAGGTCCAGGGAGTGCTGCCATCTGCTGGTTCTCTCCTCAGATCTGTGTCCCCAGGGACCAGGCCGGGGCCCATAAGGTGCTCATGGTTCTCACGCAGGGGGCAGAAACCCTGTGGTTTGAACCGGAAGCTAGAGTCAAGCGCCAAAGGAGGTGCCAAACTCAGCTACTCCCAAATGGGCAGTGCGTTTCTTAGCCAGCAGACCACATGCCTGCCCCAGTATCGGTGTTCTGTATGTATGTGATAAGGCAAGAGAGAAGTAAGGGGCAAGACGGTGACAGCCTCCAGTTGGGGGACTGCTGGTGGGGGGGACACTGGTTACAAAACAAAACCCTGGAAATTCAAATATTGAGAGTGTGATGTCTTAACTTTAGACAATTTTATAACTGTGCTACTCAATGTTAAAATAGAAACAAACCAAGTGGTTTTAAAAGGGGTGAAGGAGCCTGGCATTGTGGCATAGCAAATTAAACCTCAGCTGGGGAAGGCTGCATCCTGTATCCAAATGCTTGGGATCCACTGCAGGTTCCTGCTAATGTGCCTGGAGGGTAGCAGGGGATGGGCCAAGTTGTCAAGTTCCTGCCTCCCAGCTGAAGCTCCTGGCTCCTGGCTCCCGACCTCGGCCTGGCCAGGATACAGATGATGCAAGATCTCTTTCTATCTCTGTTCCTGTCTCTCTGTTATTCTGCCTTTCAACTAAATAGATAAACAAGCCTTTTACATATGTACATAAATGTCATTCGCAGTGAATGGCATTGGGCTTAGAGGACAGGCTGCGGATGGGGCTGCCTACCTCCTATGCAGAGCGTCAGGGCACAAGTCCTCGCCCATTCCCAACTCCAGCTTCCTGCTTAGGTGTCCGCTACAACGCAGCCGGGGAGGGCTCAGCTTGCTGAGTAACCTGCCCCTGGCCTGGCCTGTTCCTGCTGCTGAAAGGAACGGAGGGAGCACGCCAGTGGGCAGGGAAGATCTCTCTGTGGCTCTGCCTCTCAAATACAGTAGTCTATAAAAGAAGATCTCTCTAATAAAGCCATTAGAATGAAGTCATTTAGTGGTTCTTCTAGAAGGCCCTCAGCTCCTTGGGGAGGTGGTGGCGGGGGGATGCTCCTCCACAGGGCAGGGCTGTCAGAGAGCTCACTGGTGCCTAGGCCAGGGGCCCTAGGAATTGTGCCATCACTTGCTGCCTCCCAGGGTACATAGTAGCAGATGCTGGATCAGAAGTGGAGCCTGGCATTGCAACCCAGGTACTCTAATCATGGGCTATGTCTTAAAAAAAAAGAAGAAGAAGAAGAAAAGAAAGATTGCTCCAATGTGATGATGAATCTAATTCTGGCCATTTGTCCTCACTGAATATCTATTTTTCAAAAGGTTCTTTGGATCCTAGGGTACTTTCAAATAATGGATTTTTCTTGCTTCTGGAACCACAGTCACAAAATGGCTTCCACATGTGGCTCCAGGGTAGCGCCCAGCCCTCAGGTGTCTGGGCCATGTTAGACCCCACCGTGGGGCGTGGGGGGGTGGGTTTCATGGTCCCTGTCTCAGGTGAACTCGTTTCAGGTGCTGTGCCTCCACATCACATCTCGGGTTGAGCCTGAGCTGCCAGAGCACCCAGCATTCCCTGATCACGGAGGTGCAGGTATGTGTGACACTGGCCCCGCGTGTGTGCGTGCGCTGTGACCAGTGGCAGTTCTCTGCCTCACATCCTGATTGATGGTGACTGGAGATGAATAAATGTGTTCTTTTGAGCCCTACCCCTTAGCAGTCCCCTGCTAGGGATTCCAGCTCAAAGTCTGGCCACAGCTATGACCCATGACACCAGGCTGCTCCTAGCGGATGGTAGTGATGGGGTGTGCGTGCTCCGAGGGGTGTCACACGGAGAATGGCAGGCAGCACTTTAGAGCCCAGGCGCATCGCAGGACCATACACGCCTGGCTTGAGTGCTGGCCGACTTCAGAGGTTTCCTGGGCCTCTCCATGGTGTGGCTCCCCCATTGCCTGTGCCCCACCAGCACCCTTAAAAGACAGATTGCACTTAACTTGGTGCTCATCAGTCGCTTGTGATCCCTAAACTTAATAATCATATGTTAAACCCAGTAAGAACTGGACTCTGAGCAGATATGCACTGAAGGAAGAGCAGGGGTGCAGTGTGGGAATGACTCTGGGGACAGAGGGGAGCAAGGCTGACACGGCAGATGTACACTCAGTGAGGTGGAGCAGCTCGGGGAAGCATGTGGCGTAGGGTGCGGGCGGTGCTCAGGGCAGACCCAGCGCCTGTCTCCTGTGAGCTGCACCAGATCTCAGGCCAAGGGGCAGAGGGGAACAGAGCACAGACTGCCCTTGGGACACGGGAGGTCGACAGAGGGGAGAACCAGTGTGGGAAAAGGCGCAGAGAGGAGAGCAGGCAGCATTGAAAAGGGAGTCTTCCACTTAGCAGGTGGTAAAAGTGCAGTGTGTGACAGTGTGCAGTGGCTGAGAGGCAGTGTGAGTGTGACAGGAGTGTGTGCAGTGACCGAGAGCCGGTGAAGGCATTGGTACTCTAGGTTGAATTCTGCATTTTCTCTGGATTCTCTTGGGCCAAGGCTGAGTGCCATGTTCCTATTGTGCTTCTGGGAAGGTAGTTGGAAATGTTCCCTCTGTCTCCCTCAGCCCTGGGCCTCCAGAGCGGGTCCAAGTGTGGTGGGTAATCCCAGCCTTTACCTATTTCTTGATGGAAGCAGGCCTCGGGCGGTTGCTGCTAGCCGTGTTTGCTGCCACCACCTCCCCTTTCCTCCCTGTGAGGTTGTAGTGTTTCCTGGAATGCAGGAAGGTGTGCACTCAGATAGGCTCCTGGTGCAGGCTGGCCCTAACTCGCACCAGCCCCACAGATGTTCTCAGGGTGGCTGCCTGCCTGTCGCAAAGGCTGTGCCCACGGCTGCTCTGCCCTCTTCACTCACATTCAACCCACAGGTTAGTGCGTCTGTGTCCCCTGACTTCCTGGGAACCCTCTGCCTGCAGGCCCCATGTGTTCTGGCAGCTGTGAGATGCTTGCGGCTGCACAGCCCCGTGGGGCACACTGCCTCCCCGCTGCTGTCTTCTTCCCTGGCTCCCTGCTCTTCCTCTCTTCTGGCACATATTCTGCTGGCAAATAAGAATTCACTTCCCAGCATCTTCATTTTGGAAGTCAACAAGGACAGTAGAAGATAGTTTTTAGTCCTTCGAGGACACTTGCGGTGGGGAGGACATTGTGGTGCAGTGTTGGGCCATGGTGCGTTCTGTGTCAGAGGGTTCCAGTCCCAGCTCCACTTCCAATCCAGCTTGCTGCTAAGGTACCTGAGAAGCAGTTGGTGATGGCCCACGTGCTTGGGGCCTTACCACCCAGATGGCACATCCTGGAGGAGCTCCTGGCTCCTGGCTTTGTACAGGCCCAGCTTTTGCCAGCGCATGGAGGAGTAAACCAATGGATGGAAACTTTCTCCTTCTTGTGCTCTCTGTCACTCCTGCCTTCCAAATAATTATAAGTAGAATTTATAAGTAAATAAAAGCCATCCCCGCTGACTGAAGAGAGTTAAGTATTATGTTGTGGCTGATGATTAGCCTGGTGGTGAAGACAGCCCATACAGGGGTCTGCGGCCCAGCTCCAGCTGCCGACTCCAGCTCCCTGCCAGCGTTTACCCTGGGAAGCAGCATTGAGGACTGTGGTGTTGGGGTCCCTACCACCTATGTAGGAGGCCCAGATGGAGCCCCAACTTCTGGCCAGTGCAGGTGGTTGGGGAAGAGAACCAGCAGCTGTAAGCGCTCTCAGCTTGTTTGAGTCTCAAATAAATAAATAAAATTTTTAAAAATCAGTAAGTCATATATGGACATGTTTCATTTTTCTCTCTCAGTTCCCTGAAAACACAATCTTTATCACCTAATGGGACTTACTATTAAAGGTGTTTCCATCTAAAACTTTGAATAACTTAAACATAAATACTTTCCATGTCTGTGTGTTCCTTTCAAGTTTCAGGACTAGAAAGCTCACTTCCCCAAACAAATGTGCTGCTGCGGAAGTTGAACGCCGTCACCCAGTCACCTGTGAATTCAGTAACAGGCTCCGTGCGGACCCCGGCCACGTGGTCAGCATTCTCACCTCGTGCTGCACCGCTGACCCTGCGCCTCAGTCAGCTCACAGCCCAGTTGTTCACCCTGTCAAAGAAACAAACGTGTCCTCCAATGGAAAATCTAGCTGTCGCTCACCATATTTAAGTAACGAGTGTGTCTAGGTAATTTCACACTAAAGTTTCAACAGTAAGCCACTAAAAACGTTCTGTATTGTAATTGATTCAGTGACATTGCACAACATTTTAGTTTTAAATTTACTGAAGAATACTTTTGAAAAGCAGAGTGGCAGGGAGAGGGGAGAGAGGGGGAGAGTGAAAGAGAGGGAGCGAGAATCTTCCACCTGCTGAATCAGTCCCCATTTGCTCCGCACAGCAGGGGCTGGGCCAGGCTGAAGACCAGAGCCAGGAACTTCGTCCGAGTTAACCTGCTGCTTAACCTGCTGCTCCACAATTTCCTGACCCTTAAATTGACTTCTAACACTGTTCATTTAGGATACATTTCACAGTGCATTATTGATTAATGAGGGACTTAAGGAAGTGGCATGCCATTCAGTGAAAAGACTGAAAAATTTGTGATTCCCTCATGGTCATTCCCAGCCCAAAGTTTCCCCAGCCAGCGATTTTGTTCTGCCTTCCCTTGTAGTGTGATCCCATTTCCATCCCCTTTGTGGTAACATTTCAGAAATGGATGGAGAGGGTCGCGGGGTGCAAGGGGTGTGGGGTGCCTACTGACCTCCCTGTCCTCATCCTGTCTGACAGCCAGGTGCTGCTTCCAGACCTGGGACAATGGACGAGGGCATGGACGTGGCCAGTGAGGGGAATTCCTTGATCAAAGCAGTGCACCAGTGCCGGCTGCGCCTCACCAGGCTTCTGCTGGAGGGCGGCGCCTACATTAACGAGAGCAACGAGCGGGGTGAGACACCCCTCATGGTGGCCTGCAAGAGCCGACGCGTGGACCCTCAGGGTGTGAGCAGGGCCAGGATGGTCAAGTACCTGCTGGAGAATCACGCGGACCCCGACATCCAGGACAAGTCTGGGAGGACGGCCCTCATGCACGCCTGCTTGGGAAGGGCTGGGCCCCAGGTGGTCTCCTTGCTGCTGGAGGGTGGAGCTGACCTCAGCCTGCAGGACCACTCGGGCTCCTCTGCCCTTGTGTACGCCATCAACGCGGACGACAGAGAGACCCTGCAGGTCCTCCTCAGCGCCTGCAAGGCCAAGGGCAAAGAAGTCATCATTATCACCACGGCCAAGTCGCCCTGTGGGAGGCTCACTACCAAGCAGTACCTCAACACGCCTCCTGCAGGTGCGGAGCCCGCCCCTGCCACCTGCGCCACGCCTTCAGACATAGACCTCAGCACCGCCAGCTCCCCGCTGCCACACCCTGGTGACGTGGAGCTGGTACCGCGACCTGGTCTCAAGGACCCGGTGGAGCCCAGTGCCGGCAGCGAGGACAAAGACAACGACGACGAGGAGGAAGCTTGGGATCCCGGATCCCCCGGGGGGAGGCCGGTCCTGACCTCATCCGCGCCCAAGCTGGCCCAGGCCAGGTCCTGGAGCAAAAGCCACCCGTCACTGATGCGTCAGCACAGGGTGGCTTCCCTGCAGGAGGAGCTACCGGACATCACCCCAGAGGAAGAACTGTGCCATCGGGCCGGTGGGCTGGCGCTTGGCAGGCGGTTCATCACCAGGCACCAGAGTATCGATGTCAAAGACACTGCCCAGCTGCTGAGAGCCTGGGAGCAGGCCAGCTCCAGGAAGACGTCCTACGAGGAGCCGCACCGCCCGTCTCTGGCTGCGGAGGGTCACCCGCCCGGCACTGAAGCTCTCTGGGACCAGGACCCAGACCCCGGCCAGCCAGGCTTCACTTCCACTCTAAGGAGCATTGTGCAGAAAAGAAACTCCGGAGCCAACCACTACAGCTCTGATTCTCAGCTCTCGACTGCCCCCAACCCTCCTCCGGCCTTGGAAGACGGTGGCGGGGGCAAGGCGGTGCCGGGCAAGAAGAAGATCCTCTCCCCGTCCCCTTCTCTGCTGTCCGAGAGCACCCCGCCAGGGCCCCTGGGCAGGAGACACCACCCAGGATTGGAGAGGCGGGGTTCGGGGGCGGTCCTGTTGGAGCAAGGTGGTCCCCAGCCCAGACCTGGGTTCCTGCCGCCCCTGCCCGTGACCCCTCACCCTCCCTTTTCAGAGGTCAGTGTCAGCAGCAAGATGTGTGGCCTCCTCTCTTGCGGTCAGAAAGTGCTTGTGCCAACTGCTCCTGGCTTCCCCAAGGAATTCAGGAGCAAAAAGATGTTGCTAAGGAGACAGTCACTGCAGACAGAGCAGATTAAGCAATTAGTAAATTTTTAAGGGATGCTACAGCACACCCTTACGGTGTCTCTATCAGAAAAACTCTATCTAGGACTAGAGGAGAAGTCTCAGTCGGCTGCCCTTGTGGGGTTCCTAGTTGCTCAGCTTACATGGCTAGGTGGTCCAAACTTGAGTGTCTTGTAGCAGGCAGGCATTGTGAACACACACTAGGTCCAGCATTCACTAAGGGGATTCTCTGAGTCACAGCTGTTCCTTCAAAACCCCGATCCCCAAGTTCGTGGCCCAAGTGTTATTTAAACAAAGACAGAGGGCCACACATGTTGCCAATACTTTTTTTTCTTTAAATTTCAGCTCAGATACATATTTTACTAGGAAACAGTGTTTTCAAGTCAACAATTTTTTTTTCTTAGCTTCCTGCCGATAATTAAGATTGCAATTTTTCATGTTGCCAAAAGCATGAAAGAAAAACATGAAAGACCATGAGGTGTTCCAGGCTCAGTCAATCTGAAGTGCCAGGAGAGCCTGATTGTGGGCAGTGTGTGAGGAGTGAATTCAGAGGCCAACCAGTGCTGTCAGCATGGGCAACAGGTGCCCAGGGTACCAGCTGGGTAGTGGCTTCCCAGGATACTGGGACTCCACAACACCCAGCTGTGGCTCATGTCCTGCCTTTGGCTTTTGATTTGGTTTTAAACCAACTTACCTATGCTATCATCTTTTGTGATTATTCTTTCTCCCTTTTTCTTTCTTGCTATTAGTTGTAGAAGCCTTTCCATAGGTTTCCAGTAACAGGATCATACAAAAGGCATTTCTCATTACTTAAATTATTCTTGCCTTTCAACAAGAAACAAACGCACCAAAAGGAAAAAAAAAAGTTCAGGATTTACCACAAATAGAAATTATATGCTTGCTTCATTTTAAAAGAATAAAATGCTTAATGTTAGTTGAGGTTAGTTAAATTTAAGGAAGCCAGTAGGAGCTTAATCACAAATCGCATTAAGTCTTTGGTCAATATTAGACTATGTCTTTTAATTTCTGGTCTGTAGTTACTAGACATTTATGTAGTAGGGACATGGAAGGACCATGTCCTTAGTGTGACATCGCAGCCATCTAGGGTCTTAGGACCTGTGTGTGACTTCTAACGAAATAAATGAACAACACGCTACTGTTAGGAAATCCTGTAAAACAGCAGTGTTAGCTACATGACTTCCAAGTACAATGTGGACACAAAGAATTTCTGTTTCAATCTAGCAGTTCCACAGTAGAGAATAAACCCAGCTAATCAAAACCCACGTGTATGCATTTGGTGACCGTGATTTGTCAATCAATTTCTTTGCTTTCTGTGAGTTAGAGGAGTCCAAGCAATGGGCCTGAACCTTTTCTTGGCGACTTGATGTCATTAATTGTGGTGTGCACAGCAACTATTTCATCATGTGCGGCTATTATTTAAGAAGCGAATGAAGGTTATTTGATGTTTTCAAGAACACTAATGTTAACTACAGTAGAGATATTTTTGGAATTCAGACTTGTAGAAGTGTATCTGATGCTTACAGGGAATGAAGCAAGTTTTCTAGGCGCATATGTAAATAGGTAAGTTCATACAGATCAATAAAGCTTTAGATGACCATCGAGATCATTGGTGGGTCTTTCTCTTTCAGCATCATTTCAAGGGAGATTTTGCCACACAATGTTTCTGCTCTTCTCACTGGAGATGGATAGTCTTTAAAGAAGCTTTCTTTCGGTTATGAGGTGGAGGCAAGAGACCACCAGGACTCTAGAACCCAGGCTCATGTAGCCAAGGAGCAGGAGTTCCCCAGCTTCCTCCCAGCCTGGGTCATCAGCTCTGTCTGCCTTCATCCGTTCACTTCACCTGAACTTCCTATGCAAAGAGTTGCTTTTTAGATTATTTATTGAAAGGTAGATTTATTGAGCAAGGAGAGACAGAGAGGTCTTCCATGTGTTGGTCCACTCCCCAGCTGTGATGGCCAGGATCAGGTCAGTCCAAAGCCAGGAGCTTCCTCCAGGTCTCCCATGTGGGTGCAGGGTCCACCCGCATTGGGCCATCCTCTGCTGCTTTCTCAGGCACATTAGCTGGGATCTGGATCAGAAATGGAGCAGTCAGGACACGACTCAATGCCCATACAGGATGCTGGCATCAGCAGGATGACGCTTAGCCTATGACCTCACGGTGTCAGCCCCACTTTAGGAATCTTGTGAGCACAAGGACAGTAGGATGGTAGTCCTCAACTTTAACACTACAATTTTCCTTGATTTCATTCATGAGCTTATAGTTACAAATTGAATGTAGGTTCCCATCAGATAGGCTCATATCGTAAATAATATAAAAGGGCATTTTTAATATATTCATTAGGTTTTTTTTTTAATTACAGGAACTGCTGCCACAAGACTCAAGGTTCAACAATAAGCAAATAAGCGAACTATTCTGAATTATTTCTAATAATTTCCTTCCAGATGAACGAGTAGGTATCTGGATAGTTAGCATTTCCATCATTTTTTAAAAATTGATTTTATTTTTTTCTACTGGAAAGGCAGATATACAGAGAAAAGGAGAGACAGAGAGGAAGATCTCCCGTCCACTGGTTCACTCTTCAATTGGCTGCAACAGCCAGAACTCAGCCGATCTGAAGCCAGGGGCTTCTTCTGGGTCTTCCATGAGGGTGCAGGGTTCCAAGGCTTTGAGCCGTCCTCTGCTGCTTTCCCAGGCCACAAGCAGGGAGCTGGATGGGAAGTGCAGCAACTAGGTTACAAACTGGCTCACATACAGGATGCTGCTGGATGTAAGGCGAGAATTTAGCCACTTGTCTATCGCTCTGGGCCCACATTTCCATGACTCTTATGGAGCTGTTAAGTATTCTACTTTCAAAAAAGATGTATTTATTTTTATTGCAAAGTCAGATATACAGAGGAGGAGAGACAGAGAGGAAGATCTTCCACACGATGATCTGCCCAAGTGACTGCAATGGACAGGGCTACGCCGATCCGAAGCCAGGAGCCAGTTCTTCCGGGTCTCCCATGCAGGTGCAGGGTCCCAAAGCTTTGGGCCATCTCAACTGCTTTCCCAGGCCACAAGCAGGGAGCTGAGCTGGATGGGAAGCAGGGCTGCTGGGATTAGAACCAGTGCCCATATGGGATTTGGCGCTTTTAAGGTGAGGACTTGAGCCTCTAGGCCACCACACCAGGCCCTATTCTATTTTTTCAAAAGCTTTGAAGGTTTGAACAACTGGATTTCTTATCCAAATTTCTCCTAATGCTAGGATGTTCTGCCAATCAAGGGAAACAGCCTTTGCATGCTATGGGATCTCCATGACAACACATCAGAGATCCTAGAGGGAACAAATAGCTGGCACCTGACTATCCACTAATCTCGTATGCATGAACATCTTTCCCCCAAAGTTCCCCTTGCACATAACAGCACCTGGCTTCACCCGGAGTGATGCTGCAACCACACACTGTACGATCTTTCCACATTTATATAGTAAGAGTGGATGTTTGTCTCCTTGATGAATGAAGGTGATTTCATGTATGAAGGCCTTTAAAAACATCATTGAAGGTTAGTAATTACTACACAGTAAAATGCACAGTGTACAACTCGGTATGTACATTCACATGCCTGTCAAAACAACCATCCTAGGACCACATCCAGAGCACTCGATGGCCCCCCAAAGGCCCCACTGGACCCCGTGGGGGACCGCCAGGCTGACATCTGGTCCCTGAGTCCATATGCTGAGTCACACAGGCTGTGCTCCTTTTGTGCCTGCTCTCTGTTGCACATACTTTTCGTGTTCACCTGCGTTCTTGGAGAAGTGGCTCAGGCCTTCTCGGGGTTGGACTGTAAGGTGACTGTAGGACATTGCCCCTGGGGTGAGTGTCCTTGCGCAAGTCACTGGGTTGGCGCTGGGAGCTCTTTTCACTTGTGCAGGTGCTCACACGTAGAAAGGCTGGGTTTTGGAGATTCATTCGAGACTGCCAAGCTGCTTTTCTTTCCCCAGAAGGGATGGCCAGGCTCTACACCATTCGCCTTCCTGGCAGGTGTATGTGGGCGTCCACTGTGGTTAAAACTTGCCTTTCCCGGGTAATGTCCCTTCTTTTGCTGTTTTTATTTTATTATTACTGAAGTATGGTTCTTCATGTATTCTGAATATGCACTCTTCAGCAGATATTTCAGTAGTACCTTTTATGGATCTTAAATTTTGATAAAGTCCTTTTATCACTTTTTATAATTTGAAAGGCAGAGTGACAGAGAAAGACAGATCTGCCATCTACTGGTTAGCTTCCCACATGCCCAGGGCAGAGCTAGGCAGGGTCGGAGCCAGGAGCCAGGAGCTCCGTCCAGCCCTCATGGCTGGCAGCAAGCCACTAGCCACCACCTGCTGCTACCGAGGAACATCAGCAGGAGCCTGGGAGGGAGCCTGGGAGCAGCTGGACTGGAACCAGGCACTCCTGCCAGCAGACGGCTTATCCTGCCACAGCACAACTCCCAGCCCACCAATTCTTTTTCACTATTAAGGCTCCCTGGCTTGTAAGATTCTCTGCCTACTGGAAAGTCATAAAGATACTCCCCTTAATTTTTCCCAAATGTTTCATTGTATTAGTGTTCACAGGTAAGCCTACAATCCATCTCAAATCGTGGGTGCATGATATGGGGAAGGAATCAAGGTTACTGTTTTCATGTGGACATTCATAATTTTACTATGCGACAAAATACATTCCATGGCTCATTTGTGTGTTTTCTGGTACTAAGAACAGTTAAAGTATATATTTAAATCTGAGTCTAAGTGGCATTCAGCTTATGAGTTTCTTAACATGAAAGAACTTCACCACAATATTACTATTTTTAAAAACATTACTTAGGGTAACATAATCAAGTAGCAAAAATAATATGAACAGAGAGATTTCACTTCAGATTTCATCAGAACATAGTTCATATTAAAAAAAAAACCTCAAGCCTTAAAACCCCTCAAAGCTCTTAGGAAGCATGAAAACTGGAAAATTTAAAAATTAGGTTTTGTTTTAGTAAAAATTAAGACTTACTCTGCAGTTGTTTGAACTTTACAACGAAGCTGCACCTGTTGGCCATGGCAAGCATCCACAGAGAATTCTGCATTGTGTCTAACAGCAGCACACAGTGTGAAGAGGAAACACTGTAACTGCCGAGTGCAGCATCCATGCCGGGCTTCTGGTGCCGTCTCTATAATGGGCACAACCACAACATCAGCTGGTCAGAAAGGGAGCTGCCTTACGCGGCTCAGCAGTCACTGTGCTGTGGGCACCACCCTGCCTTACGCGCCTGGGCACACACCAGGTCTCCTCTACATGAATCTCATGCCTCGTGTCCCTGCAAGAGAATTTTCATTTTTTTTCACCAATTTACTGCTGAGCAAGCCAAGACGCAATGCCATTAAAAATTTCCCAACTCCATGACTCGTGTGTGTGTGTGTGTGTGTGTGTAGCGCAACACAAATGAGTCTCCCATACAGGTAGCAGGGGTCCAAGCACTTGGACATACTTTGTTACTTTTCCCAGACCCAACAGGAAGTTGCATCAGAAGTGGATCAGCTGAAAAAAAATTTTTTTTAAAAAAGATTTATTTATTTTATTCAAAGTCAGGTATGCATAGAGGAGGAGAGACAGAGAGGAAGATCCTCCGTCCGATGATTCACTCCCCAAGTGAGCGCAACGGCTGGTGCTGCGCCAATCCAAAGCCAGGAGCCAGGAACCTCTTTCCAGGCCTCCCACGTGGGTGCAGGGTCCCAAGACTTTGTGTTGTCCTTGACTGCTTTCCCAGACCACAGGCAGGGAGCTGGATGGGAAGTGGAGCTGCCGGGATTAGGACCGGTAACCATATAGGATCCCGGCACATTCAAGGTGAGGACCTTAACCATTACGCTATCGCACCGGGCTCGGATCAGCTGAAAATTGAACTGCTATCTATATAGGATGCTGGCCTTGCAGGCAGCAAATTCACTTGCTATGCTACAACGTTAGATATACACTCGAGAAAAAATGTTATTTTAGTCACTGGTTTAATCCTCAGATGCCAGCACCATCCTGGGGCTGCGGTGAAATTGCAGAGCAGGGAACTCCACCCAGGTCACCTACAAGCAGACCAGGGGCCCAGATCCTCGGACCAACACCAGCTGCCCTCCAGTACATTTGCAGGAAGCTGGATCAGATGTGGAGGTCGGACTCCATCACAAGCACTCAATACGGGATACAGGAAATTACCCCACTATGCTACAACACCCATAAACAAAGCAGCAACATAGCACTCCAAATGCCCTGCCTGGGACTCTGGCAAATACAGGATTCTTCAGGCTTCCCTTGCACCTCGCCCATCTCGCTGAGACACAGCGCATGTGTGACAACCAGTGAACACCATCAGCTGGTTAGAATGAAGGGTGGGCGCATGCTCTGGAGACCCCAGAAGAGGAACCTGGGGAAGGAAGAGCTATGTGGTAGCCACAAGGCTTTTAGAACGGGACCACGTGAAGGGGCTTGAGAGAAGGAACCTAAGCCCTAGAGGGTCCTGCCATGGCATAAAGGACAGCACAAGACTCGAATCACCTTTACAAGCACTGTGAAGACTCAACCATGAGGTGGCCACTCGTCAGACTGGAGGACCACAAGAACTCGGACGGGGATGGCACAGAGAAACGTGCCTGCTGACACTGGACCCCCAAGTGAAAATTCTGCAGTCCAGGTGTCTTGCCTGCCGGAGGTAAGGTGTGAATAGCAACACAGAGGATGAAAAAGAGGCTTGGCTGCTGGCATGCCTTCTAACAATCCAGGGATTCTAGAAACACCTGATCCAATTCACACTTCAGGAACTGTGGCTTTCCTTGCTATGAGAAAGCTGCTCACACTGTGAAAGTTAAAATTACTGTTTAATGCATTCTTACTTTTTTGAAATAGGCAGCTTTCCAGGAAGTAAGGGAATAGGGTGCCACATGTCTTAGCATCTTCATGATACACATGTTTATCTTTGATCCCATCAGGGCACTGTGCTTTGTCACAATCACTTGCAGCAGAACGACTTCTCCCCAAGGTCCCAAGCAGCAGGCTCCTGAGCAAGCATCCATTCCAGATGTTTCTGTGCACATACAGTGTCCCGAGGTCGTGCCCCTTATTTCCGTGCAGTGATATGGGGACAGGGGCCAGGCATGGAAAGTGCTTCTCCACTGGATGAAGCACCACAATTTGCATGGACGGAAACAGCAACATCAGAAACCAGAGGGCATCATTCTGGGGAAATCTTCTTAGGAGATTTTAATTCCAATGGCTTGTTTGAATTCACGATCTTGGGGCTCCAAGAGGTCATAGAAAACTTTGCTTTTATCAAAATATTCTCTAATATAAAGCAAATCTTCCAGGACATAGTTATCGTTTTTCCCAGTCCAAATAGTCAGGCTGTACCTGTAATTAAGATGCAACAGAACTGTAAAGTTAAAAATGACAGGTAAGAAACAGACAGGAGCCACTCCAACAAGGCCACGAAGCAAAGGCCCATGGGTGGAAACAATTCATTAGCAGTGCTACCACCAAACCTTCCAATCCCATTCCTCCATGAGCATCAAAGGGCTGAGAGACAAAAAGCAATGACATAACTGCGAATCACAGGCGTGCTAAACAGCCCGAGAGACCCAGACTGACAGCCCTGGCAGCAGGTCCCATGCTAGGGGAAGGAACGGAAGAGGCTGCATTGCATGTTGCTGATGGAGCCTGATTCCCCAGGCCATAAGCACAGCCATGCTGCAGGTCCGTCCCGGAGGCCTGCTATAAGGACTCACTGGAGGGGCTGTGAGGAGACGTCATGCCATGTGCGTCCTGTTCATGGACACAGACAGGGGTCCCCCTGTCTCTGCTGCAGTTTTCTGTACAAAACACGAGAAACCCAAGAGATGCCACTGGGAATGGCAAACTGCATGAGTTTAGGTCCACTTCAAAAGACTGGAAAAAAAAAAGGGTAGGCAAATATTAAATATTTATGCCTGAGAGAATGTGCTCAGAAGGTGAGGGCTCTGCACACGGTCCCTGAAATTTCTTCTGGGGACACTGTCACCGTGGCATTAGGTCTGGGGAGGCTTTCACAGTTGTGCCCACAGACCTGTTGGAATCGAGGGGGACAGCTGGACTCAGGATGACAAGACGATCTCACAGTCAGGGATAGTTTTGCCCCTTCGGGTGGGAACATCACCCCACCAGACAGCATAGGGAAGAAGTGTGGGTTCTATTCCATAGAGCTATCACAGGACAAACCAACAAGAATTCTATACTACAGCTGACAACTCAGAGAAAGAAAAATGAAAATCAGCTTTGGAAGAGGCACCTTTTGTTAAAATTTTTAGGACTAGCCTGTTTTTTTTTTTTTAAAAAAAGAGCCAAAACAGGTGAGCATCAGTAACTTTCACATTTTCATATTTTATAGGTGGGTTCAATTTATTTTTATCACATAATAATCTTATTAAATAATAGGATGTTGACATAGAGCAAGTTCCTGAAATGATGATGGAATTCAAAGATGAGCTGTTTCATGTACTGGTCATTTCCTGGGAGTGTAGGTCTTACTGGGCACCCACTGTGAATAAAAGCTCCACTGGACAGCAGAGATGGAAGGTCTGATGGCCTTGAGTGACAGCCGGGCAGGGAGAGCAGTCACAGCGCCATTTTGCTTCTGTTCCCCCACGCACGGTGCCTACACACGCCTCCTCACACTGTGACTACACGCTCACTCGTCCACGGTCTGCTGTTCACCAGCACGTACCTGTCGGACTTCCCCAGCAGCCAGCGGAGCTCAGAGCAGGACTGCCTGACAAGGGCCGCACGCACTGGGAAGGTGACGGGCTGCTGGAGCTCCCGGCAGACACGCTCCATCGCCTCCACCATTGCCCAGCTGTACCCTGAAAAGGAAACCAAGGAACAGAGCTCTCCTCACTACGACCCTCAGAGGCAGTCACGGAAGAAACTGAACCATCAAATCCACAGGTGACATATAAAAACTTCCACTGAATGCAGAACACCTTAAGACACTTAACCAATAAAATATTTTGAATGGAAAATGTAGAGGAAAAAAACCACAGCCTAAGTGACCTGAAGCAAAATACCCGAAACCTCTGATGTTTAGACTTTACTAATCTCTCCAGTGCAAAGTAAGTAAGGTTGGGGTGACTTTTACAGACTTTGTGGGTTGAGGCCCCTCCCACAGGTTTGCTTGTGTTGGCAATAATCTTGTTCGTCTGTTTGTTTTTAAGTATTTAGTGATTTTTATTGGAAAAGCAGATAAGAAGATCTTCCATCCAGTGCTTCACTCCCCAATTGGCTAACACGGCCTGAACTGAGCTGATCCAAAGCCAGGATCCAGTAACTTCTTCCGGTCCCCCATGTGGGTGCAGGGTCCCAAGACTTCATCTGAAGTGAATCCCTTAGTTGAGCAGCTAAATTCTTAATGAATGTCCTTTAAAATTTGGAAAATCATAGTTTTCATTAGAGAAGACTACTGTTAACAGAAGCTGTCCTTACATAACTCGAAATGCTCTGTTTAAAACACCTGTCGTGTAAGAAGAGAGAAGGAAGCGCAAGACGGAGTGCAGGGACGGACCCACAACCTGGGCACCCCCATGCAGCCACGCCCTACCAGCCCAGGCAGAGGCCCAAGCAGCCATGGGGTGGGGGCCAGGTTCAGTGAGGTGGCACCAGACAGTTTCCAGTTTGGAGCCTGTCAGGGTGATGGCAGTCTCAACCACTCCACTTCCAATCCCGCTCCAGCTAATGGCCTGGGAACAGCAGCACAACACGGCCCTAAGGCGTGGGTCCCTGTCACCCACGTGGGAGACCAGGATGAAGCTGCTGAGTGCATTCCACCTTAGCTGCTCTGGCCATTTGGGAGCAAGCCAGCAGAAGGAAGATCTCTCTTCTTCTCTCTCCCTATAACTGTTTTTCAAATAAATACATGTTTAAAAACAAGTAAGTTTCTAGTTTATCTTCTTCAAACATTTTAAATTATCTGCTTTGTTAATGACATGAGTAAAATGATTAGAAAGCCAAAGTAGTATAAAGAATACTACTTCCTCCATTTTGAGCGGCACACCTAGAGCGGACTGCTCCGAGCACCGACTCTCGCACCTCCCACAGCAGTGACTGGACACAGCACCCGAGTGGCTCCTGGCTCCCACCCCTGCTCATGTGCCCCTGGAAGGCGGGCAGCTGTTGATAAGAGGCGGATGGGAGCTCTTAGCTGCACTCAAGGACATGTAGGGAGACAGCCAGGCTCTCTGCCTCTCAAATTTAAAAACAAAACGAACCAAAAGCACTTTCAATGTAAAAACAGGAAAAGTAAATGTGTAAATATGTGTGCCCAGGACACAGTACAGAAGAGGCCAGCGTCTCCACAGGCTCCAATACCCTACACAAGTCCTTCAGCATGGGCAGGGGCACGAGCAGCACTCTTCAGCCACTCTCACTTCCAGCTCACATCACTTGACCAGCCTTTATGACCACATCTGCACCCCTCATCTGACAGAAGGAGCCTGTCCCACATACCCTGTGCGCCAGGGGGCTCACTAGCTGAGGGTGAGTGAGGCTTGGATTCTGTGTTAAGGAGGCCATGTGTAACAGGGGAATACCATTTGGAACCATCACCTTCGTTGGGCTTCTCAGCGTGCCATCCGGTGGCCCAGCCCAGGGAGAGGGTCACATCTGGGAAGAAGGACGTCACGGCGTCTATGAATGGCCCTGCCTCCACTGCTGGATGTGCTCCATTGGGCCCTGGGAGCACGTCGGCATTGATCCACACAGGCCGCTGCAGCTGCTCCTCCATCTCCTTCAGGAGCACCATGGATGGTGCCACGGCTGCCAGGCTGAAACACATCCAACGTACAACACAACTGTGCAACACAGTGCCTGAGCCCAGTGTCGGGGTGTGGCTCTCGGCCGTGACAGTGCAGCTGGTGTTCTGCCCGTCTGAGCGACTTCACCGCCCGGGAACCAAGGTGAGGTCTGAGATTGCCTTCACATGAACAAACACTCACATCTCAGGGAATGCCTGAATGACAGCACAGGAAACACACATACTGCTGCGGCCAGTCCACGTTGATCAGTCACTCAACACCCTGAAGGCACAGACTCTCCCTCTAGCATTCTTGTTTAGTACCCACACACACCCTTCTGAAACTGCCTGCGAAGTTCACAATTACAATAGTCCCCTAAATCTTTTCACATTCCTTCTGTCTCCCTTACCTACAGGTACCTTTTCCAAATGCTAGAGACAAGCCTGTCTCAACTAACGTGCATCGCTAGCAGCCAACCGCCTGCACTGACCACGTCAGCTCTAGCTGACACCTCAGACTTGGGAAGAACAGCAGGGGACACCTGGAGCTCACACACTCGTTTCTGGTACCCAACTCTGGTTGTCCAGAGAGGAAAGGCAAGAGTTGGAGTCAGAGGAGCAGGCTGCTTGGAGTTTGACAGGAAGGACGTGGCGGCAGGTCGGGGTGAGAGCTCTGTTGTCAGAGCTCAGCCCCCATTCTCTGGTGCATCATTGAAACAAAGTTCACCCGCTGAGCACCAAAATGCTTTCTGATTGTAAGCTATAATTTGCAAATCCTGGTCAACCCAAACCCTAGTACCTCTGGATTCTGCAAATTCACTAAACAATGGGGCTTACTGGCTTACTGAGCCCTTCAACAAATGGTTATAGTCATCTTAGTAATTGTACAAGATTTCTAAATCCTTACCTATTTCCTTTTTAAATTTTATTAATTATTTATTTGAAAAACTTACAGAGAAAGAGAGAAAAAATTTCCATCTGCTGGTTCACTCCCTAAACGCCCTCATGGGAAGAGCTGGGCCAGGTCACAGCCAGAAGCCAGGAGCTTCTTCTCAGGTCTCCTGTGTGAGTGCAGGGGCCCAAGCATTCGGGCCGGCCTCTGCTAGGGGGAGCACATTTAGCTTGGCAGTTCCGATGCTCACACGCCATCCTGGGGTTCGAGTCCTGGCTCAGGCTCCTGATCCTCACTTCCTGCTCATGCAGGACCCTGGGAGGCAGGAGTGCTGACTTCATCACCAGGCTCGACTCATCTCCCACCTTCCAGAGCTAGCCCAGCCCTGGTCACCACGGACAATCAGCACATGGGAAACTTCTCTCTCTGTCTTTATGTCTTTCTCTCAGAAATAATGTTTAAGACATTTTTATTAAGTAGATCACCCAGGCCTGGTGCAGTAGCCTAGTGGCTAAAGTCCTCGCCTTGAACGAGCCTGAATCCCAGTTCTAATCCCGGCCACCCCACTTCCCATCTAGCTCCCTCTTTGTGGCCTGGGAAAGCAGTCAAGGATGGCCCAAAGCCTGGGGACCCTGCACCCCTGCTGGAGACCTGGAAGAAGCTCCTGGCTCCTGGCTTTGGATCAGCACAGCACTGGACATTGTAGTCACTTTGGGAGTGAATCATCGGAAGGAAGAACTTCCTCTCTGTCTCTCCTCCTCTCTGTATATCTGACTTACAATAAAAAAATCAATCTTTAAAAAAACAAAAAAGTAGGTCACCCAGAGATGAGGCAGGCTTATTCCCTGTCAGCAGACAGCTTTCTGGGATTGCTATACTCATTTATCAAACCTGCAAAAGATTTGATATTAACTTTGCTCTTCATTATCAACACCTTTAAAATAGTATTATTTTTAACTCTGGTTATTGAAGAATTGCAAGTAACTTCTTTTACAACAATGTACACTGAATCAGATGTGCATCAACTACCTCACAAAATACTCCCAACTCCAAGGCCACATTTTAACAAAAGGAACAAACTAAATTTATTATTATGTTCAATTACAATGGTGATTTTTAATAAATTCTTTTAAGAATTAACTTAGGGGTGAGCATTGTGGTACAATGAGTAAGGCTGCCACCTGCGACACAGCATCTCATTCGGGAGCCACTTGCTCCCTCTGACCCAGCTCCCTGATGATAGCCTGGGAAAAGCATCACAAGATGTCCCAAGTTCATGGCGCACGTGGGAAAAGCTCTTAGCGTCAGCCTGGCCAAGTCCTGGCGAATGGGGCCATCTGAGGAATGAATCAGCAGCTGAAATATCTCTGTATCTCTCCCTCTCCTTCTGTAATTCTGACTTTCAAAAACTAATAAATATTTCTTTTAAAAAATTAAGTTTCACCTCAAGGTGCCCCCAAAAAATAACAGCAAAAGATGCAGTGGGGCCTGGCTCTGTTCCTGACGCATACCACAGTCTGCAACTCCATTTTCGTTTGGACATACTGCAAAGCGAGGCTGTCAGGCGTGGCCAGAGGCACCACCCACTCTCCCCAGCTTGTTCTGTAAGAACCAGAAAATGCATAGGTACCTCTTGAAATCCAGCTTGATGCCTTTACTGCTCCTCACCACCTCCGTGAGCCACTGCTGGAGGGAAATGTCACTGCTGGTCTCGGGAGGATGGGCCATGACCGGCTGCCCACGGCTTGGCCCCTCGCTGGCCAGCAGGACATCGGCCTCAAGCATGAGAGCAGCACCTGTGCACAGGGAGGAATTTCAGCAAGTGCCCGAGGGCAAGGACTGCAGGCGTGCTCTTGCCCACCTGCTTCTGAGGAAGAAGACAGCGCATGCCAACCACCACGGCCAGGCCCTCAGCCAGGGCCTTCTACCTGTCCTCAATTTCCCCAGGGGAGCAAATGGGTATACCCAGAAGCCAAGGACCTCTCCTGAGCTAAACGGTGTTACGTTACTGGCAAAGGTGCAGTTACGGGGTGATGGGGAGGCTCAATAAGCACCTGTTGACACTTCCTGGGAATAAAAATGGCATTTTTATCTTCTCATGCCTCTAGTTAGAAATGATGTGCATTTATTGCTCCTGTTTGAATATTCATGGGAAATCCTTTCCTTGTGTCCTAAGCTCAGTGGTTTTTAAGGACTTCAGATGACAAGGCAGGAAAGCACCCAGGAGGAGCCCAAGGCCCCATCCTCCACCTGCTGCAACATTCAGCCACTGGGTCCCAAAGTCGCCCAGCCTTCTGCTCAGGGTGGTGGCTTGTCACGGGGACAGCACTGGGCCCCGATGTTCTTGGGGCTCACTACACACACTCAGAAGCCCCTCTTGTTCTCCAGCACTCCTGCCCCATACCAGCATCCCTACAGTGAGCTGACACCAGACTCTGCCTTAGGCAGCAGGGACTCACTGTCAGGACACTGGTCATTGCAGTGGCACAGAGCAGCCAGTCACAGCTTTTCCACAGCCACAGACCAGGGCGTAATGGGGTAGGGTGCCAAGGAGGGACTGTGGGAGTCACGTGGGCTGGGCCACTCCTGCCACAGCCCCAACCCGTCCTCAGGCCCTGCACTGGAGACACACTGCCCTCATACCCACCTGGACAGGAAGGACACTGCGGACCCCTCAGGGACGTGAGGCCTTGCTTGGCAGCTCAGGTATAAATCCTGCCCCAGGTCATCCACTGTAAACATCCACCACTCAACGGATATTTGCTATGCTACCAAACATAAGGCACAAACACATGCAAAACGGGCAACCTTAATTCTAAAATATCTTATTCAAATCATCGGAACACTTAAGATGATTTAATTATATGTTAGGGTTTTAGATGAGGCATAAAAGGGCAAACTGCACTGAGAAAATAAGAAATTCCTTTCATTAATACAACTTTTACTTTATAAAAGCACTTTAATGTCTGTGCCAGCTCGAGATTTATCCTTGGACTTCCTGTCTTGTACCTAACCATCCAAAAGGGGCTGCCTCGAGCCCCTTACCGAGTGCAGTGCCAGGGGCCGCCCTGACTTACTGCCCAGCGCCTCCTCCAGCTGTGCCTTGCTGTTAGCTGCATGATACCACGTGACCTCGGCACCATCTTCTGCTGCAATCTCCTTCCTTCGCAGGAAATACTGCAGGATATTTTCACTCCAAGACCCTAAAATAACAGGTTTGTATGAAAAAAAAAAAAAAACCCTGTTAAAGAAGTGTAAGCATTTTGTTAAAAAAAAAAAAGCCAACTCTGACATTTAGTAACTCAGCCTGCTCATGGGAGACAGTGGGCTGTTTCAGTACCTGAATACAACGTGTAAGCATCAGCTTAGGGTAACTGGCCTACTCATGGCTCCATTTCTCAATCCTCTGGTAAAACATGCAGTGACTCTGAAACACACAGATGCTTGCCAACCACAGCAGCCCGGAGCTATGGAGCCCCGGAAGTTCAACCTCCTCTCCCACTCCTCCTGCACCCTTCAACCACCCTCTTCCCCTTCTTCCCTCAATCCCTGCCCCATACACACTTGCAGGACCCTGGCCGCCACACTCCCACCCTGTGAGATGGACTTTGTCAGTTTATCACGCGCGGTATCTGACAACGTCCTACAGGCTCATCCCTGTTGCGCAGGTGGATGAGTGACACTGGATCGCGGCCACAGCGCACACTGGGGCCATCTTTCATCCATCTGTTGACGGACACCTCGCTCAGCCCTGCGGATGGTGCAAGGACACAGGTCTTTGCCACACGGCCTTCCTTGGCCTTCCTTGCCTTCGCAGAGCTCCCCAGCAGGGGCCTGCCAGGTGTTTCCGCAGCCCTGTCTCTGGTTTCCTAAGGAACATCCACAATGACTTCCACCTGGCTGCGCTTGTGTTCCCACAAACTGCGCAGGGCTCCCCACCAGCACTTGTGAATTGTTTTTAAAGATTTATTCATTTGAAAGGGTTACAGAGCAAGAAGCCAACAGAGAATCTTCCATCTACCATTTCACTCCCCAAACCGGGCACACAGCCTCCTAAGGGTGTGCCCACTTCCTGGGGATGGGGGATGAATCTCAGACTATCAGCTCAATGCCCGGGTGGGCTGTGACTACTAGGTGCCCAGCCCCTCTCTCTGCTCTGCCTCCCTTTAACACCAGCACTTGCGTGTCTCCTGACACAAGCAGCCGCTACTGTCACATTACTGCTAACCAAAATCCACAATTTTTTACACGAGAATCCCCTCTGGAGGTTGCATTCTGTGGGTTTTCACACGTGGATGCCCTATATCCACCATGGCAGCATCCCTCGGACAGGGGTCTGCAGCCCTGAGCCCCCTTCCTACACAAGCCCCGAGGGGTGCAGTGGGGACACTAACTCCCGGACTCTCGAGCCCAAATGGCACATTTCGCTCCTTAATCAGAAAGACCAGGCTGCCTGGTGAGAACTGAAAACGACCCATGAGCTTTCAGAGGACCGAGTGCATCAAGAAAAGGCGGCATGGACACACTCTGGTGTTTGCAACTGTTGTGCCAGATTTTGAAATCCCCCCCAAAATCATCAAGTCTGAAGTCGGTGCTAAGGCATAAAGGTGGTTTATTCAGGTTAGCCTAGGTCTCCCAGCCTCCTCCCCCAGCCCAGCTGCTGCAGGATCCACAGGGAAGGCAAAAAGAGAAGGAAGAGCGAGCGAGCCAGAGCCCCCAGTTCTTATACATTTTAGGATATTAATTATACAGTCATTATTTAGCAGGCTTCTATTGATGGGTTTGAAGCAAGCAACTTTCAAAAAGTACAAATTGATGAGCTATAGGGCGGTGAATCTTATCAAACACCAGGTACCTCCTTCCTGAGGGGTGGTCTGCCTACGTGACCTGCCAGGTGTCCTGCCGGCTGTCACGTAGACTGTCAGGCCTGGAGTTCACACAGCCCCGGCCAAGCCATTAAGGCAGAATCACAAAATGCAGAAAACATCTAGGTTCTTCACAACCAGGTGGACAAAGGTCCTGAGATCCCCCCTCCCAACATGCAGATCCCAGCAGCGCGCCCAGACACACACACACACACACGTGCAGATCCCAGCAGCGCGCCGACAGACACACACACACACACACACACGTGCAGATCCCAGCAGCGCGCCCAGACACACACACACACACGTGCAGATCCCAGCAGCGCGCCCAGACCCCAGAAACATATCACTGTGCCCACTCCAAATTAGACTGTCCACGCCTCGGGCAACCAGACTCCCTGCAGCTTCTCCAAGTGACTACCAACGACGCGCCAAGGCGGACTAGCGGGAGAACTCCTGCCCCAGCCTCGCCTCACGCACCCCACGGCTGGGGATGCGGAAGGACAAGGGAGCGCCCGGCCGGCCCTCAGGGAAGCCCACGGCGGGGTGACCGGGTGGCGGGGAGCCCCTCAAGGAAGTCCACGGCGGGGTGGAGGGGAGCCCGGCCCTCAGGGGAGCCCGCGGCGGGGCGGCGGGGAGCCCCTCAGCTGCTGCGGTCCACTAACCCAGCCCTCGCCGAGGCCGGAGAGGCTTCCTGACGGGCCCACGCACTCACCAGGGCCTCCGGGCGCTGTCATGACGACGGACGCCGGTCGTCTGCGCAGGCGCGCACCGGGCCTGGCGGGCGCGTTCACACGACCTCTCAGCACCGGGTTCCCCACGAGGAAGCTCCAGGAGAGGCCACCCACCTGCGCGTGCGTGCGCAGCGCGGAGCCGGAAGGGGCGGGGCCTGCGGCGGGCTGACCACGCCCCCGAGGCGACAGCCTGTCCGGGAAGGACCGCTTGACCAGTGCGGCTTTCCTGGTGTGTTTGTTTGCAAGGCATCCTTTGGTTGTCTTTCATAAATGTGCCATGATGAGTGCTTCTTACAGACAGCTAATAATTTATTTTTTAATCCAATCTGTTATGTCACATTAGGTCATCTGAGATGGCTGGATTTCAGTCTTTGGTCACTTTCTTGTTTCTTACAGTTTTGGAGTTTGTTTTCCTGCGGCCACCAGGGCACAGTAGCGAGGGTCGCACCCTAACGGCCCAAGCTCATCCGAAGGCCCAACCTCTGTTGCCTTAAATTCTCACATTGCAAGGATTTCATCACTTCTGTTTTTTTTTTTTTTTTTCTTTTTAAGGAACATATATCTCAAACGACTACTTTTCCCCTTGGCATTCTGTGCACTCAGCACATACTACCTGTGGCAAGGAGTCCTTAAGTGTGAAAAATTATAATTGCTTAGGAGCAATTGACCAGTTTAACCAATGTTTACCTGAAACTGCTCAAGCACACATGGGTATCTGCGTTGATTATTTAGTATCGGTTGCTGCACGTAGCACACTTGGCAGGTTTCAGAAGCTAGGAAGGTGGGGTTCCCCAAGCAGGAGGGGTGCTTCTCACAAGGTCCCCGGAGACCCACCCAGAGAAGGGGGGAGTTGCAGCCAGAGCAGCCAGTCTTGCAAGGTGTACTCGGAGTAACATCCCCCATGTCACCATCCAGAGCGGAGGCCACAGCCCGGGGTGAGAGTGCCGCGGGACGCCTTTCTGCGGGCCACCATTCTGTCTTGCCACGGTGGGAAGAAAAACTCAAATTTTAATACTCATTTTGAGTTTTGAATTCATGTACATATTACACAAAACATTATTTTAAGTTCACAAAAAACTAAAACCTAGGCTGGGATGGAAGTTTGTTTTATTTCAAGACGCTAAAATGTGAATCACATTAAAGCTATGATTGCCACTGCAAAGTAAAAATTGTTCTTTATATAGGAAATATTATAATTTAGGCAGCTGAAATGTATAGTCACACTATTAAAGAGTGAACTATTCAGAAAACAAAGACAAGCTTAAATTTCCTTAAAAAGAAAACTGCCTGGCATGGTGGCCTAGTGGCTGGGATCCCATGTGGGTGCCAGTTCCGGTCCCGGTGACCCTGCTTCCTGTCCGGCTCCCTGCCTGTGGCCTGGGAAAGCAGTCAAGGACGGCCCAAAGCCTTGGGACCCTGCACCCGCGTGGGAGACCCAGAAGAGGCTCCTGATGCCTGGCTTCAGGTTGACTCACTCCAGCTATTTGTGACCATTTAAGGAGTGAACCAGTGGATGGATGATGTTTCTCTGTCTTTCCTTTTCTATGTAAATTTGCCTTTCTGATAAAAATAACATAAATCCTTACCAAAAAAACTGTCTTTCTACAAGATTATATACTTACAAAATTTCAAAAAAAACTTTTTTTTAAGATTTATTTATTTGAAAGGCAGTTACAAAGATAAACAAGGAGGGAGGGGGAAGGGGGAGGATGGGAGGGGGAGAAAAGAGAAAGATCAATTCTACCTGCTGGGTCATTCCTCAAATGGCCGCAGTAGCTGGGGCTGGGCTGTCCAAAACCAGGAGCCAGGAGTGTCTTCCTGACCATGTGGGTGCAGATATCCAAGCATTTAAGCCAATTTCTGCTGCTTTCCCAGGCCATTAACAGGGAGCTGAATCTGAAGTGGGGCAGCCAGGATTTGAACTAGTACCCATATGGGGAGCTGGCATTGCAGATGGCAGATTTACCCACTCTGCCAGCACCAGATTTACAGACCTCCTGCTCAAACAAATGTAATGCCCACTACTAAGAATCCTGAGGGCAGGGGTATCCCAGCTCAATACTGTCTGTCCACCAGGTCCCCGTGAGTGCGGCAGCCATCACATACTGCTGCTCCACATGCTTGGTGCCAAAGGATAAAATCAATTTTACTCATCCTTAACCAGTGAAGCCGAGGGGAGTGCTCTGTATAACAAACACACAGACTTTGTCAGATAGTTTCAAAATTCAGACAAAAAGTAATACTAAAAACATAAGATGAAAAACAGATGGGCGTAGATTCAGTACCAAGAGCATTCTATTCCTTCACCCTTCACTGAACCCTCAGGTGGCAGCGGGAAGGGCAGAACTGCACTAAGTGACACGTGTGCTCAGAACCGGGCAGCACACCTACAAGGACTCGATCCCCATTGTCCCTGAATGTGAAGACTTTCAGGAAGCAAATCCCAAGCTGCCCCGTTACGGAGAGCCTTCCATTGCCTAGCTGTTCCAAAGTAAGTTCCATAATCCTCCACTGTGTATTACTTCCACTGCAAAATAAACACACACCATATACAGAGAAAGGTTGATTTGCAATCATTTTTATCTTACACCATTTCAGAAAATTTCATAGGTTATATAACATGTTGTCATCTTATTGAGCACGCCACGTTTCACGCTGTTTCCGGAAGCCTGATGCTCTCCCTCCCTCTGCGTCTCTGGCTGGTTCAGGTGTGGGTCACCAGCGAGCACATGCTCTCACGTCTTTCCTAGCCTGACACACAGATCCCGCGTTAGAACCTCACCCACTCTTGGGGCTGAGATGCTTCCTAAGTATTTTTCTTAAAGTGAGACATTTTAGTGTAGTTTCTTTTTCTTGAGATGTACAATGAGTGTTTTTGATACAAAAACAGATTTCATGTAAGAAAAAAGGATCAAACTGGTTACACTTTAAATACCTCAAATGACAGAATATTTGCCCTTTGCCTTGTCTTTCTCCCTTCTGCCCACCCTATTCCCTGTCCCCTGAAGCTTTTTTTTTTTTTTTTGCTATTTCAAGAAGAAAGCTCTGTATGTTTCAAATATATAGAATTTACTTGTGGTAATATATAATAGCCTGTTATAAAAATAACCACCATATAAAGAATTTAAAGTATGAAAAAGTTCCTTAAAGTTTATACTTATTAGTGTCAATGAAATTACTCAGGATTACCAGGTAGTTTCTAAGGATTAATATGAAAGTTAAAAAAAAAAAAAAAACAAAGAACCTGTTCCAGGCTGCACTTATTGCTACACCATGACTGCAGCGAGGGTTGCTCGGCCTGCCATCGCTTCCTCTCAGAGCAGTACGCTTTGGAAGAAAAGGAGGAAAAATAACGGGATACAAAAATATCCACTATTTATAAATTATGAAGGACTTATAAAATATATACCAAACCATATGTCCTTGCTATAAAAACAATATACTTAAATATAGAAGCACAAAATCTTGAAGCACCCACACTTATTTTAAGAATACCCATTTAATCAGGAAAATGATATATTATATATATATATAAAATAATTTGAGGAGAAAAAAAGGCAATCTTCTGATTTTCATCCCAACAGTTTTTCTAGTCATGGAGGTAGGTCTCCACTACAGTTATACAAATAAGTTACCAGCTTTATTTGGAGAGCTCTGAGCTCTCCCACCTGGTCCGCCCACTGGAGGACACAGCCTGGAGGGCAGTGCCCACCTGGCAGCACACAGCACAGATTCCTCTCACAGGCAACATCTGTACAGTGCCCGTGTTCAGATCCTCCCCGGCTGGAGGAGCTACGCCTCAGTGCAGATGGTTTGGCTTAGCGTTGAAATAACAGCAAATGCTACAGATGTCTTGCAGGTAAAGCTCCAAACTGCGGCTCCTTTAAACGTTCAGATATTTAAATATTGTGCTAATGTTTTAAGGTCATGGCTGCCTAAAAAGCAAAGCATATGTGTTTCAAACAGTGAACATACTGACTTTTAGTGTTTGTGGCATTTTCGTTTTAGTGCTACAGTTAGGGTTAACAAATCAGTTAGCGGTACATAATCGGACACATCCCCTCACTAAAAGAGGTGTTCTAGAATGAAGAACACCAGCTCCATTTCGAAGGGCACGCTGGAGCTGGCGGTGCCCCCGTGGATGACAGGGATGAGAGCGCTGTCGAGATCATTCAGGTACTGCTGTGGCAGAAGCTGGCCTTCAGACCCTGCCTGGAACTCAACCTGGAAAAAAGGAAGACACCTGTAAGATAACCTCAGGGAATAAACTGTACAGATATTTTTGAAATCCAGTTTAAGCATGTTCACGAAATACTTGAAACATTTTTATAAAAACTGATAGATTCTGCTTAGGAAACCAGCAGACAATGGCCCAACTCTTGGCCCCCTGCTCCCGAAAGGGAGAGCTAGGAGAAGCTCCTGGCTCCTGGCTTCAGCCTCACCCAGGCCTAACTGATGAGGCCGATGGGAGTAAACCAGAGGATGGAAGACCTCTCTCTCCTTCTGTAACTCTGCCTTTCAAATAAATAAATATTGTAAAAACAAAACAAAAAAAAAACCACTGCATTTTTTCCTCTGGAAATAAAGAATTCAATGAATTATAAGTGAAAAAACAAACAAACTCTGTACCTCAGGAGTAGACGAAGGCTAGAAGCAGTAATCAAATTTGAAAGTTTCACTTTCATGCTTTCTAGAATTTCTATCATGTAAATACAGGGTCCAGTCCCTCGGGCAGGATGGGTAAGGAGCAGAGCATGCTGTGAGCGGATCCCGCCCTGCTGGGTAGGAGAGCTCATGCAACACAGCCACGCCCACGTGTGCACAGCCCTTAGTGGCCGTTTCCACAGGACAACAAGCAGGGCAGTCAGTGATGCCAGAACTATTGATGGGCCTTTCAGAAAACGTGCTTGCTGACTCCGTGTGCAGTTACCAGGATGGCACGTGTGAAGCATGGGAGACACAGCCGATGCTCAACGCACGCGCCTTTCTCTCCTTCACCCCAAACAAAAGGTCGGGGCAGGGGGAATTACCATCCATTTAATGTACGCTACCTTCATTTGAAAACCACGTCACACAACATGTCTTACCATGTCAACATCGATGGAAACTCTGAGCCCAATCTTATTTATCCAGTTACTTTTGAGAGTTTTCAAATGTGGGCACAGGGCAGCACTGCATGCCATGGCGATTTCTTTTGCAAACTGGTAATGAGCGGATGAAACAGATGTATCTTGGCCCTTTAGGAAGTAGAATACCTGAAATGTATTTAATTAGGAAACAAGTCATAATTAATATTGAATATAACTTTAAAAAATACAACTGCTACTTAAATTCAACTTCAATAAAATTCCCTTAGTTCCATGAAAATCATTAGCTGAGAGCATTCTATGTATAGATATATAGCCTGATCTATTTAAAAAAAAAAACTTAAAATCAGCTTTTTTTAGAGATTTATTTATTTTTATCGGAAAGTCAGATTTACAGAGAGAAGGAGATACAGATCTTCTACCCACTGCCTCACTCCCCAAATGGATACAACAGTCAGAGCTGTGCCGATCCAAAACCAGAAGCCAGGAGCTTCTTCTGGGTCTCCCACACTGGTACAGGGTCCTGAGGCCTTGGGCTATCCTCAACTGCTTTCTCAGGCCACAAGCAGGGAGCTGGACCAGAAGTGGAGCAGCCAGGACATGAACTGGAGCCCATACAGAATCCTGCGATTGGAGGTAGACAATGAGCTAGTAGAACCATCGTGCCGGCACTGGCCTAGCTATTTTTACCATATAATTAACTTGCAGATTTGAAAGTCTTGGTAACTCAGTTTAAAGAACGGTACCAGTTCATCTAGTAAGGACATCTGTATGACATTAAGATCTAACTAAAATAAGAATGTTCTACGGGGCCTATGTAATGGCTCCAATGGCTAATCCAGCCACTTCAAGTGCCAGGATCCTATATGAGGTCCACTTCCCATCCAGCTCCCTGCTTGTAGCATGAAAAAAATGTAAGAGGATAACTCAAAGCCTTGGGACCCTGCACCTGTGTGGGAGACCTGGAAGAAGTTCCTGGCCTCTGGCTTCAGATTGGTTCAGCTCCAGCTGTTGTGGCCACTTGGGGGGTGAATCAGTGAATGGTTCACTCTGACTGTCCTTCTCTCTGTAAATCTGCCTTTCAATTAAAAAAAATACTTAAAAAAAAAAGAATGTTCTACATTTTCTGCATTCTCTATGGTTTCTATTTTGCACATGTACAAATTACAAAGCAAACACAGAATATAATGCTGCTGCTTTCTTGACCAGAGAGAAAGAATGAGAAAGTTACACAGTGCAAACTTTAAACTAGGGATCGGGAGTATGCAGAACCACAATTTCAAATCCTCTCATTTTTTTAAAAGGAACATATAAAATTAACTTCCATATGTAAATCATTATAAATTAATGCCAATAAAATATTTGTTTTTATAAACACTAAGAAAATGAATATGAGCAAGTAACATAGCACAGGATGACTCCCAGTACAGGTGTGACTCCCAGCAGGCAGACACAGCACAACATCTGCCTCGGATCAGGCTACGGGAGTGCAGTCTACCATGAGAACAGCCTGCTGAGGAAATGTGTGTGTCTCCTCCAAGTGTACAGAACCGAGCATGGTAAACAGAGCAGGCCTTGCGGTGCAGTGGGTTAACCTAGTGCTTGGGCTGTCCAATCTCCTACCTGAGCATGAGTTCAAGTCCCAGCTGCCCTGCTTCTCACCCAGCTCCCCACCAAAGCTTCTGTGAAACAGACAAGGGCCCAAGGACTTCAGGGTCTGTTACCCCTATGGGAAATCTGCTTGAAGTTCCAGGCTCCTGTGTGGGCCTAGAGCCAGCTCTGGTCATTGCAGGTACCTGGGGTGTGAGCCAGTGGATGGAAGATCTGTCTCTTTCCAGGCCCCCTTCACATACTCCCACTGCTCTTTCAAATGAATAAACCTTTAAAATATCAACACCCATATCCAACCACAGCATGTAAGCGAGAGCAACACACCCCCTGATACCTCAGTACACTTGACAATCTTCTCATCAGTGTCAAAATCGGCTTCCAATTTTATTTTTTCACTTGGAAATCCTTGTAATGATATTCCATCCACTGAACTGATAACACTACAGAACAAACATTAATACAATTGTTAGTATCAGGTTGCTTTGTATGAAATGATTTATTGACTTGCACAGATGGAATTAGGAGAAAACAATTATAGAAGTTCCAGTTTAAAACCACAAGACAGTGCAATTTCAAAACACCAGCACTTACGGATTGATTCAATCAGCGTCTCCTTGTTAGGAGGCCTTTTCAGACCTTGTCAAAACACCTTGAAGTGTCTGATGGGAAGGCTGTCTCATGAATTTACAATTTTCCCTGAGGAATTCAACATGAGCCGTTTTCCCCCCTCCTATGCACCCTTAGCTAATTCCCAAGAAAGAATGCAACAGGGAACTGAGAAGGGGGCAGTGCTAACCAGCCAGGCCTCTACACACTATAACATGTATAACATGATCCTGTACACCGGCAGCGGTGCCATCAAATCACAGGGACTCTTACTCAGCAGTCAGTGTCATAGGCGCAGTCTCGTGCCTCCCCCGGGAGGTGCTTCACCACGGCCCCCTCCCGGGCTGACTGCCCTCTGACAGTGTCTAGCTGCCTGCCAAGGAGACACTCATGGGCAGTTTAGGCACAAGCTTCAAGAAATGAGTTGCAGTCAGAGTGCAGGTGTTTACACGAACCAAACAACTCTTCTTTCCTTCACAGAGTGGTCTCTGTCACGCTCCCTGCCATCAGTGCATCACGCATTAGTAACAAAGGACTTCCTACCCTTGGTTTCCTCTTTCTTCAGAATCTACCCAGCAGATGTCCACATACTCTCTCAGCTCTGCGGCATCAGCTTTCCCACACGTGATCTTAAAGTCCTTCTGCTCTCGTAGAGCTAGCCGCAAGGCATCCATGGTCTCTGGGGTTATCTGAACCATCAAGCCATCTACGAACGAGAGTCAGAGTTCACATTTACCAAATATCAGTCTGCATGACTAAGCCATAAAATACACTATCAGAATATGTTCTGTTCAAGATAAATCACTTGTTTTTCATCCCCATGGTAATTTTCCATTAGAAAATAGGAGAAAGATATCACAAGGCTTTTTTTCCTTTAAAGTTGAACAAGGTAAGTATCTGCTGTGACTGTGATGGAAGAGCTTGTGGTAAGGCAGCCCTTTTGTGACAAACAAATTCACAGAGGTTCGTATGTATAATCTCCATGTTGAAAATCCCAACACTACATTCACACCTCAAGAGCTGAACCCACAACTGCGCCAGGGCTCTGGCTGGCACTGGCACTCTCCTCATGGTGACGTGCTAACCCTACAGACCCTTACTGGACTGACAGCTCAGAGTTAAAAGGGTTAGGAACTTCTCCCCTTATCTTTCCCCATATCCCTAGGTACAGGAGGAAGAAAAAAAAAATTCGGAAACAATGCTCTCACCCACTGTCCCCTAACGCTCGGCACTTCCCACTCTAATCAACTATGTAAACATCAAAATAAAAATTTAAAAAAAAAAAAGAGTGGGGGTTGGGAAAGGGCCAAGGGAGTCCAACATAGAACACAGTGACTCGAGTCACAGGGAGGCCAGGGCCACGGGGGGTTAACCCGTGCTGCCACAACACGAGTCCCTCTTCTTTGTCACTCTGCCTTCAAAACACACCATTAAAAAAAATCTACAAGCAAAACATGTTTGGAGATGGAGCTTTGTCAAGTTAAAGGGGCTTCATAGGCCCACCTTCCTAGGCCCACCTTCACAGGCCCACCTTCACAGGCCCACCTTCCTAGGCCCACCTTTACAGGCCCATCTTTGCAAAACGAAAAGTCGAGTCTACACAGGCACAATGTGACTGATGATGGACATGCCTAATACAGCATAAACTTTCTTCAGAAAAAGCTAACAAAATCTGAAAACCCTACAGCATATTAACAATGCACACAAGCAAGAACTGCCATACATGCAGAAACATGTGACTGACCCCACAGGCCACTGAACCAACCCCAAGATGGCTAACTGAGCACAAGTATTTTACCAAACCTATGTCAGATATATGCACAGGCCCCAAAGGAACACATTCAGATAATGAAAAAGCAAACATGGATTTAACGTAGAAACAGAATCTGGAAAACAAACAAACAGAAATTCTAGAACTGAAAACTGCATCTAACAGAAATGAAAATGGAAACACTTGATAGTTTTAAGATGAAAAAGAATAAAATCAGAGTAAGCAAATGTAGATCAATAAAAATAATCCAATATGAAAGTCATAAACAAAAAGACTGAAGAAAAATTATTAAAGCATCAATAACTGATAGAACAATATAAAGCAACAACATACATACATATTCCAAGTCCCAAAAGAGAAAAATTAAGAACTTCAGTTTAAAAGGACACCAGGAAGGGCAGGTGTTGGGTGCAGTGGTTTAAATGTTGCTTGGAGGACCACATCACATATTGCAGCGTTTGGACTCAGATCCTGATCCTGCCCCTCAGCCCACATCCCTGGTAATGCACAGCTCAGAAGGCAACGGGTAACGGCTCCAAAAATCCAGTACCTGCCGCCCATGTGGAAGAGCAGACCCGAGAGGCATTCAGGAAGGAAATCTACAAACAGAAGAGATCTCTCTTTCTATCTCTCATGGACTTTGCCCTTCCAAATAAATAAAAATGAATATATTTTTAAAAAGAAAGTAAAACTATGAAAGGGAAAATAAATCTACATGAAACCACATAACTTATATCAGTCAGAAAAAGTTATAGCCTAATATAAAAATGGGCAAACAACATGAACTCAAATAGGAATGTTACTAGCCTGCCGGTGACAGAAAGTTCACCATCGTGAGATAAGCTACAGCTCTACACAACACCACACACGCGATTTTAGAAACATGTTATATGAAAAACCAAGCTCCACACGATTACGACCACGTGAGTAAGATCACTTCTACATATACCCTTCATAAGGCACATGTGACGAGGGGATGTGTTTACAGAGTCAGAAAAATTAAAGCAAGAGAATGACAAAACAGCAGTCAGTCTACTAGCTAACTCTTGGGAAAGCAGGAGGATATAAGTAGATTCAAATACCAATCACGTTCCTGTCCATATGAGACTAAAGATTCCCGCAGAAAAGGGACTATCCAGTCACCGAAGTTGGATGAACCCTCGATCAAATGCAGAGAAACGTCACTGGATTCCAATCTCATGCAGTAAATACACACAAATAATCCCAGTTCTTAGGCTGGGTGGTTATTTCATCTATGTTTCTGGTGTGGTGCTTCATAACTTAGTAAAGTATCAAAAATTTTATTGAAATATTACAAGTTTGCATTGAAACAATCTTATCAATGAAACTCATACCTTCAACAATGCTGGACTTAGCAAGAAATCCTGAAGATGCTTTCAGCGCTCCATTGAATACCACAAAACTTGCACCTGTCACTGATAATGAAATAAATAATTATTTATGTTGTAATCCACTCATTTTTAAGTTGGTCAAATATGGAAAGTGTGGGGCAGCATTGTATCATGGCTGGCAAAACAAGCGCCTGAAATGCCAGCTTCCCACATGAATGCTGGTTCAAGTCCTGGCTGCTCCACTTCTGACGCAGTTCCCGGCTGGGTGCTCGGGAGAGCCCTTGGGCCCCGCCTCCCGGAAGGAGCTCTTGGCCTACTGGCTCAGCCCTGGCAATGCAGCCATTTGAGGAATGAACTAGTGGATGGAAAATCATTCTCTCTTCCTCCTTTTCCTTCTCCTTTCCTCTCAGTAACTTTGCCATTCAAATAAGCGCAAACACACACACACACACACACACACACACACACACACACACACACACGGGAAATGTGTCTTACTCTCTGTTTTTCCTGATTTCTTAAATCTGCTTTTCCAACAAAAATAGGTAAATTTTTTAAAAAGATTCATTTATCTTTATTGGAAAGGCAGACATACAAAGAGAAGGAGAGACAGAGAGGAAGATCTTCCATCCAATGGTTCACTCCCCAAGTGACTGCAATGGCTGGAGCTGAGCCAATCTGAAGCCAGGAGCTTTTTCTGGGTTTCCCACGCAGGTGCAGGGTCCCAAGGCTTTAGGCCATCCTCAACTTCTTTCCCAGGCCACAGGCAGGGAGCTGGACGGGAAGCAGAGCTGCTAGGATTAGAATCGGCATCATATGGCATCCTGGAGCGTTCAAGGCAAGGACTTTAGCCACTATGCTATTGTGCTGGGCCCAAAAATAAGTAAATCTTAAAACACACACACACAAAGGTGGCGGGTAGCACAATGGCTTAACTGGCTAATCCTCCAGATCCAAGCACTGGCATCCCATATGGGCACTGGTTCTGGGTCCTGGCTGGTCCATTTCTTAGCTCACTGCCTGTGGCCTGGCAAAGCAGCAGAGGATGGCTCAAGCCCTTGGTACCCTACAACTGCATGGCAGACTCAGAAGAAGCTCCTGACTTTGGATTGGTTTGGCTCAGGCCATTGCAGTCACTTGGGCACTGAATCAGCAGATGGAAAATCTTTCTGTAAATCTGCCTTCCCAATGAAAATAAATATATTTTTAAAATGTGGAATGTGTAACAAGTATATTCTACCCATTTCACCTGCACTACAAGTTGAATTGAAGGGCGTAGAGTGATAGCCTAGTAGCTAAATCCCAATCTTGTATCCGCTGGGATTCCGTATAGATGCTGGTGTATCCCCCCTGGTCCACTTCCCTTCCAGATCCCTGCTTGTGGTCTGGGAAAGCAGTAGAGGACAGCCCAAAGACTTAGGACCCTGCACCTGTGAGGGAGACCTAGAGGAGGCTCCTGGGTCCAGGCTTTGGATTGCGGCCACTTGGGGAGTGAAGTAGTGGACAAAAGATCTTTCTCTGTATCTCCTTTTCTCTGTATATCTGCTTTTCCAATTAAAAAATATAACAAATCATTTTTTTAAAAAAATAAATTGAATTTAAAAAAACAGACTCTCATGGGCCTGGTGCAGTAGCCTAGTTGCCAAAGTCCTCATCTTGAATATGCCAGGATCCCTTATGGGCACCAGTTCTAATACCAGTGTCCCTGCTTCCCATCCAGCTCCCTGCTTGTGACCTGGGAAAGCAGTCAAGGACAGCCCAAAGCCTTGGGATCCTGCACCCACATGGGAGACCCAGAAGAGGCTCCTGGCTTTGGATTGGATCAGCTCTGGCCATTAGGGCTGCTTGGGGAGTGGATCATTAGATGGGAGACCTTTCTCTCTGTCTCTCCTCCTCTCTGTGTATCTGCCTTTCCAATAAAAATAAATAAATCTTTTTAAAAAAACCAAAAAACCCCAAAACAAACAACAACAACAACGAAACCCACACTCCCAGAATTATTGTATAAAACAATTTAATGGTTGCATCTAGTAAGTCATGGACTACTATTTCTTACATGTTCATACCTGTAAAAATGAGTGTGAAAAATCAAACATTTACTATTGCTAAGAGTTAAATCACAACAGTCCTGATGGAGACCTAACTTGACAATGACTATCAAAACTACAAATAAATGTGTCCTCTGATGCATCCATTTTACCCCCAGGAGCTCATCCTTCGGAAACATTCAAATATATGCAAAATAGCACACACACGAGGTTATTTACAACAGTATTTGTAGAAATAGCTGGTATGTGTGCCAACACAGCATCTCAGCAAGACAGTGAAATGAATTACACACGTGGAATGGACTGTAAAGCAGTGCACACCCAGCACAGGATAATCTCCTAGTGAGTTACTGAAAACAAAGAAAACGGCAACATGCCAAAGAGAGCAACTTCTCTGGTGGAAGAAAGCAACGGCAAATGGACACGCACGCATGTGTACAGCGGCTAGGCACCACCACCAAGCAAGAGTGCTTCTGGAAAGTTCCACAGGCAAAGGGCGGGCAGCAGTTCGGCTGCCTGAGGAAACAGCAGAGGACAGACAGATGCTGGGCTAGGGAGCTGAGGGCGCTCTCACCCCACACACAGTGACCCATCTTCCCATCCAACTATACATCTACAAACAAATACACACCACACACTGCAACACCTTAAGGAAAATCCCAATTGCATGTAAAAGAAGAATACAAACACGCAAATATCCAGGATAAACATGGCCAGTCTAAACATACAAATTAATGTAAGGAGACAGTACAATGTCTACTGTTGCCACATGCCGGACGTTTTCCTTCTACTTCCAGAACCGCCTTTCCTTGCTTTCCACAAATCAGTACCGAGTTGGATCTGTGGGCAGTACTGAACAGACACAGACTTTTTTGAAAGAAACCCCATTAGTTGAGGCAGTTGCACAAATTAGCACCAGACACTAGGCCCCTCACCTTTTCTGGGATGGCTAGTGGCGCTGTTGGCCTGGGTTTGATAAACCCCATCGTTCTGTACACAGACCAGATGAGAATCAGCTTCTGTACTGAAACTGGCTCCAATGCTAATGACATGCTCGTTAGAAGAATTGATCACTTTCATCACCTGAAAAAGGCAGTAGCAGTAACAATCAGAACCACTTTCCTGACAAGCTTCAAGCTTTGAAGTGGACAACTTCCCAGGAATGTGATAGAAACAAACATTTTAAAACAAGATCATCTCAACCAAACAATAAAGGTAGAGATTAAAAAAAAAAAACTAGGAATAAACAAACCCCTTACTAGAAAACAAATTGCCAAGTTTTACAAAATATTATCTGTTGACATTATAAGTCTAATTCAAAACAAAAAAAATTTTTTGAAACAATTTTTAAGAATTACATGTAAAATGTGAACAATACGACGGTACTTACATCACCGTACTTCTTCCGAGGTATTTTAACACAGCTCTTCCCCACTTCCATATGAATCAACAGCTCATCTATGCTATGCAAGGTGTACTGGTAGTCCCGAAGGTCCTGCATAAGACAACCATATTTCCATAATGCTTGCACTGCTCTCCATGAGCATTTAAAGCTTTAAAACGGCATCCCTCATTCTAAGGCTTCCGGAACATAATTATTAAAATGACATCCAAACAACTAAAATTCACTTAGAGATAATTCTTTCTGCTAGCACACAGGAGTAATAAACCAGCAAGAACTTTGTGACACGAGGGGACATGTCCTCTCTCCAAGCAGCCATCTTCTAAAGTTGAATCAAAACACATTTTTAATAAGCATAAAATAATAAAAATGAAACAAATGCCACGTATTTCATATACAGAGCCTGAAAAGTGTGACACTTCCCAGCCTAGCCTTGCTCCTCTTCCTCTTTCATTTTTACGACATACTTCCAATTTAACCTGTAATCACAGCAGAATGAAAAGCTGAAAGGGAATCTTCTGAAATTATTTTCTTTAGTAATAAGTGAATACAAAATTACAAAAACCATACATGGAAGAGGACTTCAGACTCCACATGTTACAATCCTTCTTAACACAAATGAGAAAGCCAAAAGCATAATCTGTTCAAATGTCACAAAACAAATTTGCTAAACTAACACTCTCACTGGAGCTCCCCTAACCCCGAGTCCTCTGTGCAGCTCTCCCACTCTCCGGACGTGTCAGGCCGGCAGCGCAACGTCTGAAACAGCAGCCCAGGAAACTCAGACCCCACCTTGTTAAGCAACTGGGGTTTATCATACACAAGCTCTCATTATGCCAAACATGCCAATCAAAAGAGAAAAACACAACTGTGTGAAACTTGCTAAATACAAGTCCCAGGTAACAATGCAAGAAAACTAACATAGCTCAATTACTTACAACAAGTAAGTTCATAATAGTGTGTCCTATTTCTCCAAAGAGAGGTTTTCGGCCCCGGATACTGGTTAGAGGAGTGGGGTATGCTGCACAAAAGGAAGGAAAATTGGTTACCATAAAAAAAAGCACACACACACAAAAACCCAGGAATTACCTTTAATTCTCATTTGCAAGTGAACATTATGTAGAAATACAACGAGTCAGTTCTAACGGAAGGGAAAGATGACACTGAATCTCACTGCATTTCCAGGACATGCTACAGCAGACTGCAACTTCACACACATGATCTAAACTTCCTACAACCCACGCACAACATGCTGTAGATGAGAAGGGAGAAACATCTGCAATGGGACTTCGTGCTCTCTAAAGTATGTCATCCTCTCATTACACACACTGTTTCCACAGCATTATGTGGAATAAAAAGTGCAGTAACTGAGTAGACTATTGCAAAAATTCTGACGATTTAAGGATAAATCCTGGGCTGGGTTTGTGGCACAGCGGCCAAGGTGCAGGCATCGCATGTGAGCCCCTGTTCAAATGCCTGCTCTGTTTCTGATGCGGCTCCCTGCTGACGTGCCCGGGAAAGCAGCAGCAGATGGCTCAACCACCTGGGTCCCTGAGCCCACATGGAAGACCAAGCAGAAGCTTCTGGCTCCTAGCTTTGGACTGGCCCAGCACCAGCTGTTGCAGCCATCAATGGAGTGAACATGGAACCTGTCTATGTCTTCCTTTCTCTCTGTGTGTGACTTTGCCTATCAAATTGTGATCATTTATAAGTGGTAGTAAAATGCTAGGGTTCTTATGAGAAAAGGAAGCATTTGCAGTCAGAGACCAAGGCAGCACACAGGATCTGTCGTCTAAGTACTTTTCTCTCTTTTTAGGGCACTGAAAATACTGAACTCTAAGGAAAAGGCAAGTACTGAAAAAGTACCTGAACTCTGAAAAAAAAAAAAAAAGGAAGAAAGGTGGAAGAAAGAAGGTGAGGCTAGTTCCACAGCACTGAGAAGCACTATTTTTGGACGTAAAAAGAACTTTAGCTTTCACCACTAGCTTTTCTACTTGTGCTCTGTCTCTAACACTCTCTCACACATGCCCCCAAGTTAATATCTAGCACAACATGAGGATTCAGAACATTCCAGAGGCTAGCTAGCTCTGACGTGTACCCAATGATTTTCCTTTATTGCCCCTTAACCAACCAAATGCTGGCCATATTTACAGATTATATGTTTCATAGTGATTTAAGATTTTATAGTTACCATCTTCCATAATCATAGCATTCAAATATTAGTATCAGAGACAAAATAGGACTGTACTTCAGAACGCTTGTGGGGATAAAAAGGAGTTAACAGACACATTCAGGGGGGCAATAGGCACAGGGGTTGAAACACTACTTGGGATGCCCATACCCCCTTATCAGAGGGCCTGGGTTCGAGTCCCAGCTCTGCTTCTAAGTCAAGTTCCCTACTAATGGGCAGTCTTGAAGGCAGCAAGTAATGGTCACCCCCTTCAGGGACCCAGATTGAATTTCTGGCTCCCAGCTTCGGCTGGGTCCAGCACTGCAGGTATTTGGGGAACAAACAAATGGAGGGGTTCTCTTTCTCTCTACCCACCCCCAACATACACTAAAAATACCCCAGCATAATACCTCAACAAAAGTAGTTTCATTGGTACATTAGTTTATTTTAATAACTATCTAAGCATATTTTATATCTGAAAATATGTAACTTGTTCTAAAACTTACCTTTATATTCGGCACCCAATCGCAACATTAAGCGCATAGGGAAAACCTTGGCCCAGGGGATCTCCAGCTTCTGGATGAGAACCCCACAGAGAAAAGGCCTCCTCGGCAGTGGGAGCCCGTCGAGGTTCTGAAAAGTGGGTGCAACAAACAGGAACCCGCCGTGATCCTTGTTATTGAGAAAGCTCTCAGTAAATGTCACATTGTCCAAGTCTTCTATGTATTTTCCTGGGAATAAAATCATTAATATAAAAATTTTTAAGTTGTTTACTGTGACTGTTTTGAAGTAAGATTCTGGTTTCAAATATCTGAGTTCAAATAAGCTTTCTTATAGAAGCAATGCAAAGTCCTTTCATCTACTCTTCAAGAATTCACTTCTGTGCACAAGGTTCCATTACTCCTGGACACTGGCAGCTGTAACTAAAAATCTGGAAATGTTAGCACCAACAAATGCCCTCAGCTTCCCCTTGTTGCCTAACTCAGTCAAAAATCATGCCCATCAGTCTTGCAGAATCAGCAAAGAACACAGACACTAAGGCAAACATATTTTCATTTTATAATAACAATCTTAAATATTCTCACTTATTACATTGGATGTCGGATTTAAGGTTGGGACTATCCTAAAATCACCAAGTTCAGTATAAGGTGTATAGCAGCTGGACGTGTATAAACTAAAACTGAAGTATCAATGAAATAGTCACGGGATGGGTTAAGAACTTGCATTTTCTAACATATTGGTCACTCAATACCATTGTCAATTAACTCCATAATGTTGTAAATTGTTGTTGATGTTATGTTATGGCTTTTCATTGGATGGGATGATATTCTGTCAGCTCTACTCTCAGACCAGAGATGGTCTCCCCAAGAAACTGTTGCATTTATCTGGACAATATGATGCTGGACTCAATGCATGGTACATGCTTGCAATGTAGGAATCATGACTGGATTTGAACTGTACTACTGTAACAATGTGGAGGAATCCATCATGGGGAGAGGGCTTGGGGGAATCCCAGAGCCTATGAAACAGTGTCATAAAACAAAATTAAATTAAAAAAAATCAACAATCTCCTCATAAAATAAATCTTCAGGACAGTTAGCTCAGCGCAAAGGAGAAACAGTTTTAATTTCTCCAGCCCTAAGTCTAAAGAGTTCAAAACAAAGCACTGTACCTTTCTGAGCACTCTTGTATATGGTGACAAACAGTCTGAAAATGTCCACAGGGATAGTATCTTCATTTGGCAAACGTGACAACAAAATCATGACTTCTGCCTGTCCCAAGCCGTGCAATCCACTGGTGGAGAAGTACCAATATCTGTCTGAGGAATCTTAAAAATGATAAAAGCATACAATTTAAATGTCAACTCCTGTTAAACAAAAATATTTTTTGAGGAAACACAACTTCTCTAATTCATTATTTAAATCGAATGGTATCAGATTCATATTTAAAAGGAAAAGTAATTAATCTGTAAAATCAATTAATGAATAACTTAAAATAGACACTCATATAAAGGTAATATAATAATTTGTGGAAATCTTTTAATTCCATGTTTCTTCAAACTTTTAAAAGTACTTTCAAGTATTCAAATGCAGTAAAGATTAAATTAGTTTCAAAGGCACTGCAAATATGGTATATGATTGAGTAGCTGGGATTACTTATTATCAAGGGTCATTTATCCTCACTTTCAATTATGTCGTTAGTATATCACTTACTTTAGAATTGTCTTTAAAAGACACTAGGCAGCCCCCAACTTGCCCCGGCCAGGGCTGCCCCTCGGAGCTGGGGTGCAGTCCAGGTCTCCTCCCAGGTGGCAGAAGCCCTTTCCTTGAGTGACATTTTTGCCTCCCTACCACAAGCATCAGCAGGAAGCCAGAGCCAGGGATCCCAGCACCCCGACAAGGGACACAACGTCTTAACCAAGTTAAACATTCACTGGTAAAACTGTTTTTACTGCCACTGAACCAGGATTCCTGCCTGGAACAATTACCAAATGTTCAAGTTAGTTAAAAGCTGTGGGAGATGTCAACTGTACCACAGTGGTGAGTCTATATGACCTTAGCTTCAGATTGACCAAATATTGCTAATAAATATCTATAAATACATATTTCAAGTCCTACTGAATATACATAATATACTGAATTTACATAAAACCATATCTGGCTGAAAAACCACTGTACAATGCTACTCAAGATATAATTCTGGGCTCAGCATTATGGCTCAGTGGCTAAATCCTTGCCTTGCAACCAACTGGGACCCCATCTGGTGCTGGTTCATATCCTGGCTGCTCTACTTTCCTTCCAGATCCCCGCCCGTGGCCTGGGAAATAAGCAGGATACAACCCAAAGCCACGAGACCCTGCACCAGCATTGATGGAAGAAGCTCCAGGATCCTGGCTTCAGATTGGCTCAGCTCCAGCCACTGTGGCCACTTGGGTTTGAACCAGCAGATGGAAAATCTTTCTATCTTTTCTGTCTGTAAATCTGTCTTTGCAATGAATATAAATGAATCCTTAAAATAAAAAGATATAATCACTTCATAAATTCTGCTTACAGATTAGATAGAGGAATCATTACTTACAAAAAACTAATTTCACATTCACAAGGAGATTAGCATTTAGGACAAATGTGACAGGATGACACCCTTCACCTTCAAGAAGCAAAATGACCTGCTCGTGCGATGGGTGCTCTTCAACTACAGGGGCTAAATAATGAAAGTTAGATATTAATTAGGAAAAAGATCTTGTTGAATACATCTATAAATCCAGCAACTGCCCAGTCAAAAGCAATCAATACCCTGCACAACAGGAACAACAGTGATACATTCATTTTTACTTTTCTCCCTATTTTGCTCTTCCTTTTCAAAGTACATATAAACTTCATTATACAGTATATATTTCATGCATTCATTACATAGCATATTAGTATAAATTTTAGTGCTCCCAAAGTGTTAACACTTTTGTAATGAGGATGCCAATGTACTCGTTACTCCACTGAAACCTTCTGTAAAATTAGTCTAGACCCAAGTCACAATCCTGTAGTGACAGGCAATATAAAAACAAAATGACCTTAGTAACCAACAGGAAAGTAGATATGGAAACCAAGCACGGAGCTTGGTGTTTCTCCACCACAGCAACCTCAGGAAGGGATCTCACTCATCTTCAGCTCATTCCTCATGTCATCGCACATAGAACCACCGCTTAACGTCGCACAAGGCAATGACCCTTCCCAGAGAAGCACTCTGAGCTAGGCAGTGCCTACAGAAGCTGCAGCTTACAGAGGACCCTGGAGAGCAACTGGACTGTGCTCTTTCACAATGAAACCAAGGTCCAAAGAGATTAAATAACATCTTCTGTGTCATACAGGAAATAGGTAGCACACAGGAACTAAAATCCCCAGCTCTGTCAGTCTAACATCCTTTCTTTAGGAAGCATACTCTTTAGAGGGAAAAAAAAAACAACACCACACTTCATATGTCATAAATAAAAGTCATTACTATGGTCTCAAAAATTATTTTTAAATTGAAATAACTGCGATCCTACCTGATCCCTCTTCTCCGGCAGCAGTGAGCAGTGGGGGCAAACCGTCCCCCTCATCAGGCAGAAGGCTAATCTTACTGCAAACGTGTTTCTCAATCCCACAGAGTAACTGATAGTCCAAAATCCCAGCAGTCGGCCAGCTCTTGCTCACGGGGACACCAGGGGCACCAGGCAGGTCTTCACTCTCTGTAAAAACATCATCATCTAGTACAAAGGAACCTGCAGCAGGCAGCCCCTCAGCGCCTGTGAGGACAGGCAGCTTTCCCACAGGTGCAACTTGAGAAATGGGACTCTGGATTATTTCATTTCTTGTAACTTCTCCTGGTTCATTGATTGGTTTCTCCAGTGTAGAAGGATGGACGTGATTCGCTGTGTCTGCCGTCTGCAAAACCCAGAACAAGGTCGACATGTAAGTTCATGCTCTCTGCTGAGCTGTGAATCCTTCCACAGCCAAACATATCTTCTGAGGAAGAAAAAGCTGAGGAAGGCATTCAGCCAAGCAGTTGTCAGCTAAGACTCCCAAATCCACATGAGAGCACCTGGCTCAATGCTCAAGTCTCAGTGCGTGACCCCAGCTTCCTGTCAATGCAGATCCCAGAAAGGTGTAGTGATGGCCCGAGTGGCTGGGTTCCTGGGACTGAGAACCCAACTGGATGAGAGTACCAGTCCCTACCACTCCTTGTCTCTCCCCTCTTACATAATTTAAACAACAACTAAGGGGCCCAGCATTGTGGCATAGTGGATAGTTGCTGCTCTACTTCTGGCACAGCTCCCTGCTGGTGACCTGGGAAAGCAGTGGAGGATGACCCAAGTATGTGCAATCTTCGCCCAGGGGGAAGACCCACATCGACCTCCTGGCTCCTAACCTCCAGCAGGCCCAGCTCTGGCCATTTCAGCCATCTGGCAGTGAAAAAGCAGAAGGGAAATGTCTCTCTCTCTCTCTCTCTAGCTTTTAAAATAAATAGATCCTTTAAAAAAAAGAAGAAAGAAGGAAAAAAGAGAGAGAAGGAGAGAAGGAGGGAGGACGGAAGGAAAAGTTAATAACAAGTAAAAATTAAAACAGGCTCAGAACTTCTTCTGAAATCACATTTCCCAAGGAACAGTTACATCTCACTTCTTTAAATTCAGGAGCATAAGGCATTAAGAACAAGATTTTGGCTTTAATGCTTGCATAGGTGGATATTAAAGTCTTGAAGTCTGGCAAAACAAGGGTCCTGTACTGTATTACATAAGCAAGCTTACAGCTCAATCCAAGTCCTTCCTCTTTTAAAGATTTGCTTATATATATATATATATATATATATATATATTTTAAAGATTTATTTTTATTATTTTTTATTGGAAAGGCGGATATACAGAAAGGAGATACAGAGAGGAAGATCTTCCGTCTGATGATTCACTCCCCAAGTGAGCCGCAACGGTCGATGCTATGCCGATCCGAAGCCAGGAGCCTCTTCCGGGTCTCCCACGCGGGTGCAGGGTCCCAAAGCTTTTGGGCCGTCCTCGACTGCTTTCCCAGGCCACAGGCAGGGAGCTGGAAGGGAAGCGGGGCTGCCGGGATTAGAACCGGCGCCCATATGGGATCCCGGGCGTGCAAGGCGAGGACTTAACCACTTGCGCCACTGCGCCGGGCCCTTATATATATATTTTTAAGATTTATTTATTTTTATTGCAAAGTCAGATACACAGAAAGGAGAGACAGAAAGATCTTCTGTCTGATTCACTCTCCAAGGGAATGAATGAACTCCTTCCTCTGGTTCAGTCCCCAAATGCCAACAAGCAGGTAAAACAGGAACTGGGAATTTTCTTACTTCAGCAGAGGAGCTGTGCACTGAACATGGTGCCCTGTTATGGGGATGTGGCTGCTTTAACCACGCAGCCATGTCTGGCCCTCAGCCCTTTCTCTTCAGACTGACTAGAATCAGTACTAGATGAGAAATGTTAGGGAACTCAAGTGATACAGTCATTTAGAACTTTCATTTAAAACTCTGATTCAGTAGGAGTTCATGAACTATACTTCCATTACTGTCATTTATCTATTATTGATTTTGCAATTAATAAATATGCAATCTTTTGAATTTTAATCTTAATGCAAGTAATTGTTAATATTACCTTGTAGCATAACCTCACTTCTTTAGTGTTCTCAACAGGTTTTTGGAGTATAAAGGACCCAGAAACCACTGGTTTCAACTTACATTTAAAAGGTAAAATCTAACAGACATTCATGAGCAAGGGTGTTTGGCACAGCAGCTGAGACAGTTTGTGCCTCCTGCATCTCCTGTCCAGAGTGCCTGGGTTTTTGAGTGCTGGCAATGGAAATTTTTTAAAAAGGACACTTTTCTTTAAACATTACATCACTACTGCAGCCCAGGCATATCTCAAAGGCATCATGGGTTTGGCTCAGACCGCAGCAACAAAGCTAATATTTCTATCAAGTGAGTCGTGCCAGCTGTTTGGCTCCCCAGTACATGTAAGAGTAATGTTTACACTATTCTGAAGTATGTTAAGTGTGTGATAGCACTGTATCTTTAAAAATAGCCTTTATTTCAAAATACAGTATTGCTAATAATCCTCTGAGCAGTTGGAAAAATGGTATTACAAAGATGTGTTCAGGAGCCTGTGCTGGGATGCCAGACGGGGCAGTCACCTGTGAGCCTGGAATCCCACATGAACCAGAACACTATTTCAAGGGCTTGGATCTCTGCTACCCACACAAGAGCCAGATGGAGCTGCAGGCTCTAGACTTGTGCCTGGCCAGCACCAGCCTTTGCAGCCATAGGGGCAGTAAACCAGTAAGTAGATCAATCAACAAACCAATCAACTGATCTCTCTCTGTATATATATATAAAACTGGCTTTCAAATAAATCTTTCAAAAAGAAGTGTCCATGCATAGTTGCTATAGTTCTTTCATTTGTAAAAAATATTAGTGAAGCACAAAAACATACCCTTATTCATTCTAGCAACCACGCCAGGAATGAGACAACATCTTATAATTAGCAAGATATTTTTAGATTCTTACCGTGGGCATGTCAAGTGAGGGACGACTGAAGTCATCAGAACATCTCTTACTTCCAGATGTTAACTTCGTTGTGTCTGCAACTTCACCGTTAGGCAATATGCCATCTGCAAACCACACTCTCTTCTGTTCTTTGGAGCACGGTCCTGCCATCAGTGGAAAAAGCAAAGTTCAGCAGCACTGCAATTATTCAGTATCAAACGGGTCAGGAAATGTTTTTAGAAGCTTTTTGCTTTCCACTGGCAAGCTCTGCATTTTCAAGACTTTTTGTGACTCATCTACCCTGAGCAGAGTCTCCCTATAGAATCCATACAGTGAGAGCTTATGAGATCCGAGTTAGCTCCGGCAATTGTGTTCTCCAGAAACAAGCGGCCTCTACAGACACTGCGGGAAGGCGTAATCCTGGACTGGAGCCCAGCTTGTGAGTGTGGAGTGGGCATGGATAACAGGGGCTAAGGCACAGGTGCAGGGCAGTAGGTCGGAGCAGACCGGCTAAGCCAAGAGGCACAGGCACAGAGAGAAACAGTCCAGACAGGGATCATCCTAGCCTCTAGGCAGCAACCGAGGGACAACATTCGCTGCTTTGACTTTACTGATATTTATTAACCTTTCTTCCTAGATATAAAGTAACTAAGCATCAAGTTTTTTTTATAAAATATCCATTGCAAAAAGGACATGAAAATTACTACCAGATGACTTACAATATAAAAAAAAATCATTATTTACTTCTTTAAAACACAATAGAGATAACATTAAAAAACCACAATTTTGCCCAAGCATGTTTTTGCAACATGCATGGAGATATTAAGTGAGGTATCTTTCTTACATTTGTAGTATTTTTATAATTAACTTGTCAGTTTAACAATAAGTTAAACTTTTAAACATGAATTTAGTCACCTTTTGAGCTATCACAAATAATACACAACCATTGAGGCTGAATCTCATTTCAGTTAGAGCAATAATGGAAAACAGCTGCTGCATGATACACTGAAGTCCAGAACAGTTGTCAAATCTGCCTTTAGCTAATATTTAGTCACTTTCTAGTATGTCACAGACTAACCGATTATGTTTAGAAACCTACCCCTGGGGTGGCTCCTGGATGTGCTGGAACCCATGCCTCTTGGGACAGCAAGCTGCACTGCCCTCTCCTCATCGCAGCTTCCCACTAGCGCATACCTCAGGCAGCACGCATTGGCTCAGACAGGCGAGACCCAAGTGGTTGTGCTCTTGCCACCCACCCAGCAGACCCACATTGAGTCTCCAGCCGCTGCTTGCAGTCTGGCTCAGTGCCAGCTACTCTGAGCATTTGGGGAGTGAACCAGCAGAGAGAATAATTCTGTCATCAAATAAATTGTTTTAAAAAATTATTAAAGATTATAAATTTTGAAACATAAAGATTTAAAAAAGATTTCAAGAACATCGCATTAGTTGGGTAAAACACACAACTGCAGTAGTGGGCTTTGTTTTTAGTTACGTGTACCCATTGTCTTTCAAACCCAAGCGCGCATGTGCACACTGTGCTCTGCCGGGAAGTGAGGTTCCCTTGTGTTGGGGAAGAGCCGAGCCCTGAGTCCTGCTCTAGCTCTAGCTTTGGGGCAGCAGGAGGCACAGCTGTGTGTTCCACGCCTCCCAGTGCTTTGGCATTTAGGGTAAACACTCCTTCAGCTTCCTTGGCACCAACCCTCCTGGGTTCCCAGCCCTGCTACTTAGCATGTCCGCAGCAGACACAGCTCAGGCCACGTGGGGCTGCAAACCAGGACTGCCAGGTCTGAGAAGCAGCAATGCACTGGCACCTGGGCCCTGGGCTCCAGGCACTGTCGTCTCCACACTTCAGCGCCCCAGCCTAGTGGAGGTGCCTCTCACAGCTCCGAGGCTCTGCAGCACTCAAGCATGTCCCGTTGGCACTAACACACACATAATCCTAACACACATTCACATGTCCTAACACACAGGTGCAACCAATCCCACATTACATCCCTCCCCAAACCCAGTCCGAGTTCCCTTCTGACTGTACCGTGACCACACTAGATCCTTTCTACGTTAATAATTTCTCTTTAGCCGAATGATGTATCTTTAGGCTAATATAGCCTTTCCTTCTGGTTACCTTCTATACCTGGCTGTTTAAGCGCTGAGACTGGCAGAGCTGAAGGTGAAGGTGCACTGGTTGGCTGGGTCTCCTGAGGAGGCTGGGCAGTGGCACGTTCATCAGAATGGTTAGACTTAAGATTAGGGCCAGTTGGACTCATCATCCTTTCAAAAGCCTGAGCTATAAAAGGGAAAAACAATAGTATTAAAATCTCAGTTGCTTTTGTGCTTCAAAGTAAATTATAGTCAATTTTCTACTTTTCAAGTTGCAAGAAATCATAAATGACTAATCAAGATAAAGAAGCAGAATGGCAGACACCATTCAGTCAACATCGGTTCCTTATTTAATTGCAAGCCCTCCACTTTGATGAGTTGCTCAATGAATTATCTCAATGAATTTGTCATACTATTAATATCTACTGCAGAAAATGATTCTGTTTTAATATGACTGTCTTCTGTTTCTGTCTTTATTCTTCTGAAGTCTGTTTCCAACATACTTCAATGCTTCTTTAAGACCAATCAGGATCTCATTATTGCTATTTAAAACCCCTTACAGCTCCCTAACTAAAGCCGTAATTTAATGTATCATGGCGGCTCGTGAGATCCTATATAATTCACAGCCCTACCCCCATAGCTTCTGTAGACCAGCCATGCCCCATCCTATCCTCAACAAGCAGGCATTCCCTTACCCCAATCTCTGTCTCTAGTATCTCCTCTCCCTAGAACATTCTTCCCAGCCTGTTCAGCTTTATGTTCTTGCTTCCTTCAAATCTCTGTTCATATGTGACATTACCATAAAGCCCTATTCCAATCCCTTGTAAAAATATTGCCTCCTGCCCCTCATCTCTTACTATCTATTCCTCTTGCACTTTGAATTTCAATTACGGTATTGTCACCATCTGATATTCTCTTAGTTTAGCATCCATTTCTCCCACACTGGCAGACTCTGTGAGAGGAGAACATGTTGAGTTCTCAGCTGGAGCTCCAGAAGGCAGAACAGTGCCTGAAAACTGCACACTGACTTTCCATTCAAGCAAACCCAACACCGCTGGGAGCTCTCCCCTCTACACTTCCCCAAGCCAGTATGCCCTAATAATTCTGGAATGCCACTCAATGACAGAATTAGAAACAGATTCCACTAAGTGAAATCTAACTATCTTATACTCCGAGCTTCAAGGCAACTTCTGACCCAAATCCACTAACAACATTATTATGCTTGCTTTACACTTTATACAACTGAAGTACTACATCATCCACAATTCCTGTTCAAGGAAATTTTCTTCCATTCCTTCACTCATGGTGTCTCACACTTCCTGAACCGTCTTTCTTCTCTTAGTTAATAACAGTATTTTAAATAATCACATTCTATCAGTTTCAACCTTAAAACAGATGTTAAAGCAACTTGCTTTTTTGTGGTGTATAAATTAATAACACTACAAATAAAACACCAAAATGACTAAAACAGCCACAAAACAACCCATCCCACAGGATGATCCTTGGTGCAGTGTGGTCTGAGCAGCCTCCTGAGTCCCCCGGCCCTGCGCTCGCCTCTCGTGGGCTCTGACAGACATCCACGCTGCAGGGGAGATATCTTTGTGGGAGTTTTTTTCTAAAACTGAATTCTAACAGACTTCCTAGACCAACAGCACCAACAGTTGCCTGCTAGGCTAAGACAGTATATGAAAAAGTAAAACAACCACAAGCATTTCACTTAGCATCTGTATATACATTGATGATAACATGAAAATAGAAACACATTTGTATTCTATTATCTTCCAGAGTGGAAGTCAACAGTAGGGAGCAGCTGACCTCTGGCTAACAGACTCATATCAGAGTTTTCTGAAGAACTGCTGAAAAATTATCTTGATTCAAAAGAGAAAACCAAATTATTAGCAGGAATTTATTCTCCTGGCTAATGGGAAACAATTCCTGAGCTAGAGCACAGGTCTGGACAAAAAAGGCCCAAGTCATGTTTGCTGGCAATTAAACTGTCAACAAGTCATGGAAAATGTCAAGAAGGACTCAAAAGGATAAACATGTATTCAGGGGAAAGACACAACATAAAACACCCACACCCCATCCACACGCACACACACTAGCTCTCTACCATCAGCAGTGACGATCCTGGTAGAGAGCTAGAGAGCCAGAGGAACAACGGCAGGTGCACACATGCAACCCTAACATTGAAGGAGACAAAAAGTGTGCAAGCAGTGTGGATCCTATAAAGTACAAAATGACATGCATTACACTACCATGTCTTTTTTATTCCCGTTTTAGATGATATTCTACAAGGTGGGAACTATTAGCCTGTTCTATGCCATTAATAATTGATATAATATTAGAAGCTGTCAAAGTAGGAGGTAGTCTATAAACATTTGGATTTAGATGATGAAAATGGGGATGATGATGATAAAAGGAAAAGCAGGCAGATGGAATGAAGCATTTAGGAACCTGGTACACTCCATACATAGAATGCTTCCTTTCCAAACTGGCAATATTAATCATGAGAGTGGAAGGAAAAGACCAGAAACCAAGCCTTGGGGAGTTCCACCTAGGTCAGACAAGTCAACACTAGGTCCCTGCCCTAAGAAAACAAAGTTTGTCTTTGTCACAATCCAGCTCTTTTTCAGATGTATTCAAGTGCTGGAAGAAACTAGGTCACGTTGATACTCACCTTTACTAATAGCCTCGTAGCAGGTCACACACACTCTCGCTTCTTTTTCTAGATATTGCAGCTTATACTTCCTATTACAACAGACACCACAAAATACCTACAAAAAAATCAAACAATAAGCTGTTGTGATTTCAAGCAAAACACTAGGGCAAGGAAAGAGGAAATTTAAAACTTAATTAATCCAAATCTGTTTTCCGTATTATATAAATCACTTTTCTAATCACCATAACCACATGTAGAGAACTGAGATAATTTTTTTTAACTTAAATGAATTTACTTGTAAGTTAAAACCCCGTCTCTGATAAGGAAAAGTCATTCATATCAAGCAATCTGCAAAATGATAATGCCATAGGTGTCCATGACACTAATTTTAAATGAATCCCAACTGTAGACATCTGTTAGGGAGCTTTTTCTGAAACTAGATTTAATTTAAAATAGCTCCAAAGAATAAAACACTTCATACAGGCACCAGTTCGAGTCTCTGCGCTTCACTTCCCACCCAGCTCCACGCTTGTGGCCTGGGAGGGCAGTGGAGGACAGTCCAAAGCCTTGGGCCCCTGCATCCGCATGTGACATCTGGAAGAAGCTCCTGGCTTCAGGTTGGCTTTGCTCTAGTTATAGCAGTCATTTGGGGAGTGAGCCATGAATGGAAGATCTCTGTCTTTTCCTGTCTCTGTAAATCCGCCTTTCAAGTAAAAATAAAGAAATCAAAAGAAGAAAATAATAAGACTCAAGACGTTTACAACTTACTTTCCCACATGCTCGGCAGTGGTGTCGTCGTTTTGTGAAAGTGAACTTGACTTGGCAATTCATGCAGTTTGGAGCTTGTGCATCAGGGACCCATGCAGGTTGTTTCCGGCCCAACGCCAAGCCTCCTGTGCATGTGCCTTCAGCTTCAGCATCTTCATTCGCAGCTTTAAGACTGCGTCCACCTTCAAAATTACTTTCTATATCGATGTAATTGGAGTTGAAGTTAGCCTGAGGCTCTGCAGTACAATCTGCAGCACAAGTGGCTGCAGTGTTGGTATTCACTCTGCTGGCTTCATCTTCTGGCATATTTGGATCATCCAGCTGGCTCTGTTCCTTTGAACTCCTTGTCCTGGATGGAGGGTTAAACAACTGCTTTGGTCTGGCCCCACCCACATAAGCAGGCTGACTGTTGGTGTCAGGGACTGGTAGTTCATTCACTGCTTCAGACTGACCGGTAGACAACCCTTGATCAAGTGGACTTGTGCTTTTTTCCACTGAAGGAAACCCACTGGCTTCTGTTATACTGTGCTTGTCAGCTGCTTCACAAACCATACTGACACCTCCACTTTGCCCAGCAGCTCCTGCTTCAGCATTAAAATACATATTTTCCATGTTACCTTCACCTAAACCCTTCACATCTGTCAGGTTGCTTGGAGAGTTTGAGTCATTAAAATTTTCTTCAAAACACTTCAAGCTAGTGGTCTGAAGATACTGTTCTGTCAAGAAGGCATCAAGCTCAGCATCACTGATTAATGAGCTACTTTTCATTCCCTCATCAATATTAAAGTAATCCAAGTCCTGCTCACCTATATCACTGCATGAGAATGTGAGCCCTTCACAAGGGTCGGGAGGCTCGGGGGCGTCAGCACCACAGAGCTCCACCTGGGGCCCTGCGGCTGCGGGAGCACTGGTGTGCTCAGGGTCCCTCAGAGACTCAGCCCTGCTGACCACCTGGTCGTGATCAACTTTCCCGTTGCTCGTCCTCTCAGCTTGTGGCTGAAGGAGCACATGGCTGCGCCTCTGCTCCTGGAGCAGCTCTCTCTCTCTGCAGCGTCCCCCAGCCAGAGCTGACTTCTGCCCGTCACGCACAGCCCCTGCATCCTGCACAGGGTCCTCATGGGCGCTGGGAGGTGACAAATCACCACAGGCTTTGCTCTCCATGAATGACCCACACAGAGAGCCAGGCAAGGGAAGACAGGACACAGAGGAAGGAGCGTCCTCTCTGGAAACATGTAAAGCCGGGGAGCACTCGTGGACCACATCGTTATTGTCTTCAGGATCTTTTTCGCCAATTTGTTTTATAAATGTAGGAGTTCTACCTTCCTGAAAGGAAAACTCAGGTAATCTGAAATTTTCACCTTCTGAACGTGAATCATTTAAGAGTAAACCATCCCCAGGCACAGCACTTGCGCCACCTCCTTCTATTACGCGCTCTGCGCTAGGAACCACAGCCACCTCCAGCTCTTCTTGTACCAAACGGCGACCTTCCTTCAAGGCTTCACGTGGCTGACTCTTGTCCTGGAGGCTGTCTTTGGCATCAGACAATCTGGCACTCGGCTGAGTCGCCGCCGAGGATGTGTTCAACTCCACAGCTGGTGCTAAACGACCAGGCGTCTTTTCATCCTCTAAATCTTCTGTTCTGTTAGGCTTACTAGAATCTGAAAGTGTTAAGTCTGCTTCTAAACCTGAATCCTTGGTTCCACTGATTCCTTCCGTTTGCCATTCAGAGTTGTTCTCATTCTGTTCTGCGACACTCCCACTCGCCCAATCTGTCGAAGAAACAGCGGGACTATCTGACACTGAGAAGTCCAATCCAATCAGAGACTCTGTATTGGACTTCAAATCGTCTGGCAGTAACTTTTTAATATCCTCTTCACTGCTGGTGGCATGAACTAAGTCGCCCGTGTGGCTGATCAGATCACAGACCGGCTCACTGCACCGTCCCATGTACGAGGGCGTGGCGGCGGCGGAAGTGCCGGCGTCCACAGAGGAGAGGAGATCGAGGCCTGCGACGTTCTTTCCGTTATGTAGAGAAGTCAGTCCTTCAGGTGTTTTTTCATTCAAGGAAATCTCATTTGTTTCATAGCATGTTTCCGCTGGGCCACAGTGATGATGGCACTGTTGGCCGTCAGGGAGCAGCGATGTTAGCTGTGAGGACGCCAGCTCCGATGACACCGGACAGTAGTTAGAAGCATATGCTTTCTGTGCATCTTGGAGATAATCTTGTTCATCTAATTAAAAATAAGAGACAGTGTTGTTCAGTAGACCCAAATCTCCCCCCAAATTATAAACATATGATTATAAGCCTTAGACTATAGCTATGCTATCCTTTGGCAAAAATGGTAATAAAATCCAAAGCTATTTTTATTTCACTTTATTTTCTTTTACTTTTGAATGTGATAAAAAAGCCCATGAAATTCAACTGTATTATTAAAACCAGACTAATGAGGAGCGAAACAATCCAACCTCTTTCTTCTGTCCTCCAGTTTTGTAGTATTCCTTCTGAGAAAGTAATGATTCATTATAATAAAATTCCAGGTTATGCACACATTCAAATAGCTTTAGCTTACCAAAATGTTCATTTTAAAGGTCTTTTTAAAATAGATACATTTATGTCTGGAAAGAAACACTTGTCTCTTTCCTTCTGTTCTACCCAGTGGAAGAATATACTAGAGTAAGCTGGGCTCAGCACAGGGACTCGGTTGGCTGATCCTCCCCTTACAAACAAGAGGATCCCATATGGGCAATGGTTCATGTCCTGGCAGCCCCACTTCCCATCCAGCTCCCTGCTGTGTCCTGGGAAAGCAGTCGAGGACGGCCCAAAGCCTTGGGACCTTGTACCCGCATGGAAGACCTAGAGGAAGCTCCTGGCTCCTGGCCTTGGTTCAGCTCAGCCTCAGCTGTTGTGGCCATTTAGGGAGTGAACCAGCGGATGGGAGATCCTTTTCTCTGTAAACCCGCCTTTTTGATAAAAGTAAGTAAATTAAACAAAAAACAAAAAAAGAACATGCTAATAAGCTATATATGCTGAAACATGACCTTTCTGCAAAAGATAACTATCTCACCAAAACTGAAATAAACGTTTATTAAAAGCAGACCTGAGATAACTGTGTTACAGGCATTTTAAACTTTCATTAAAGATAGTAATGTAAATCAACAAACCTGGGTTCTGTTCAAAATCATCAAGGAGTTTGTCCAGGTCACTGACAGCTGCTTTAAAATAACTGTCCATTTTAACTGTAGATTTATTACAAATTTAATTCTTATATGCCTAGAAAATACAAAGAATGCTATTTAATTTCTAACATACAAACAGTATGCTAACTATTCCATGCCCGGGAGGCATAAGGATACAGGAATAACCATTAAGAGAACTACTTTAAAGAATCCACAATTGGGCCCGGTGCGATGGTGCAGTGGTTAAAGTCCTCGCCTTGCACGCCCGGGATCCCATATGGGCTCCGGTTCTAATCCCGGCAGCCCTGCTTCCCATCCAGCTCCCTGCTTGTGGCCTGGGAAAGCAGTCGAGGACGGCCCAAAGCTTTGGGACCCTGCACCCGCGTGGGAGACCCAGAAGAGGCTCCTGGCTTTGGACCTGCATAGCATTGGCCGTTGCGCTCACTTGGGGAGTGAATCATCAGACGGAAGATCTTCCTCTCTATCTCTGTATATGTGCCTTTCCAATAAAAAAAAAAAAAAATAAATCTTGAAAAAAAAAAAAAAGAATCCACAATTTAGTTGGGAAAATTACCTATTTGTATAACATGGAGACCAACTCTAATAACACGCCACATGCGTATGTAACTATCAGACATTTAATGCCATTCAATAATCCCTAAGTCAAAGAAGAATTTATAATACAAAGCTAAAATATGCATTGAAAATACACTACAAATAAAATTAGTGAATATAAAATTTGTGAGATTCATAAAAGTGAAGCTAGAGCGGACACTGGTTATACTAAAAAAGACTAAAACAAATCACCTCGGAGCAGCGAGTAAAGAACTAGAAAGTAAGCACGGAAGAGAGAAGGAACAGAGCAGATGAATCCCTAAGTCAAGCAGACACCCCACACAGAAAAGCTGACAGCATTTACAAGACTCAGTCAGTGAGCAAGGGGAAACAGCATGAGCACCAAGAAACCAACCTGAAGGGCTCTCACTGCTTTCAGCAGGACGACGGGTGGTAGCTAGAGCTGAACTGTCGAAAACTGCTTACCAATGAACAGACAAATCCACAAGACCAGGACTCGCTGGAGAGCTGCTAGGCCACCGACCCAATACTCTGAAAACAAAGGAGCCAAACATGCACCCCTTCTTTACTTACAAAACACACGTTAGGACAACAAAGCCGTGCTGGGGGTGGAGAGTGGATGGAAGACCAGTCTCATTCTTCTTTCCATCACTTAACAACCCTAACCATCACCCTAACCCTAACCCTTTCAGATTAATAAGCTTAGAAACAAATGACTTACTCTGTTCTAAAGGTTTTGTGTCCGTGGGATAACCTGTTTTGAATACTATTACTCACTTGGCCATACATATACTCTCAGATTTCCAAACAAATTTGTTTCACAATTTTTTTTTTTTTTTTTTTTGTAGTTCTGGTGCAATAGCTCAATTGGCTAATCCTCTACCTGCAAATGATGGCATCCCATTTGGGCACTGGTTCATGTGGTTCATGCCCCTGGTCGTTCCACTTCCCACTTCCCATTTACTCTGCTTCTCTCTGTAAATCTGCCTTTCCACCAAATTAAAAAAAAATTTAAAGATTTAGTTATTTTTATTGGAAAGTCAAATTTTACAGAGGAGGAGAGAGGATCTCTATCCACTGGTTCACTTCCCAAGTGGATGCAACAGCTAGAGCTGAGCCAATCTGAAGCCAGAAGCCTGGAACTTCTACTGGGTCTCCCACACGGGTACAGGGTCCCAAGGCTTTGGGCCGTCCTCGACTGCTTTTCCAGGCCACAAGCAGGGAGCTGGGTGGAAAGTGGAGCAGCTAGGATATGAACCGGCACCCATGTGGGATCCTGGCACATGCAAGATGAGGACTTTAGCCACTAGGCTACTGTGCTGGGCCCCCAATACTTTTATTTTTACTTGTTGCTGTTAGTGGAGAGATGGACAAGTCCCTGTCTCCCACTCGCTCCACACGTGCTCCCCACAGGCAGGCAGAACCAGGACCTGAATCTACTTTACTCATGAAGAGGCAGAAACCCAACTACTGGAACTATCACCACTGTCTCCTAAGGCTGCACTGGCAGGAAGCTAACAACAAGAACCGGAGCCGGCAGACAAATGTAGCCAGCCACTCTAACGTGACACAGGGGCATCCAAATGACAGGCCCGCTTCCTTTCAATGAATCCTCACAGTATTTACTATACCAAGGAAAGAAAGAAAAAACTGATCTGAAAAAAACCAACACCACCAATGGTTAGGACAACCCAATGCAGAAGATGAAACAGAAAAAGACACAGAAGTGGCTCAAAAATGAGAACTTCCTGCCCATGGAAGTCTAGGCTAAAAGTGGCAGGTTCCCATCATGGAAACAGAAGCGGGTTCCAACGGCTCGGCAGGCCACATCAAGAGCAAAGGCACAAAGCGAAAGCCCAGTTCACTCCCGGACTGCCGTGTGAAGAACCCCGAGAAAAAAACAAGACTGCTCCCCCTGAGGACGGGGCGCAGGAGGGATGCCGGAGTTAGACAGGATTGGGGATCCGGAGACGCAAGCTGCTGGAGAAGGACAAAAACCTGACATCAGGTAACTACAGAACATAGTTCACGTGACCAAAACCACTCCGGATAAAACTGCCCAGTTAGGTGACTTCCGTAGAATAATAACCAATGAAAAACTGCAAACTTCCTGCAGACTATAAGCCATTAGAGATGAGCTTAGTAAAAATAATAAATAAAAAACAAAAACGCACTAGCAAAGGCACAGTAAACATGCAGGGACATTGATCAATAATTCTATAAATCTGGGGCTGGGATTTTGTAAGCATTTCACAGCTACATTATACGTCTCTGTAATATGTTATTTTCTCATACACCATACTTTGTAGACAGGAAAAAAATAATTTTGTTTTTGAAAAACCATATACTATATCTTAATAAAAGGTAAAACTGTACTATAATTGGGCAAATAATATCCACAGAGAACTAGTAAGACGGTACTAAAATATTCCACGCACTAACAAAGTACTAAAACATACACTATTTGTTGGCATCTATCAACAGGCTGTAAACGATTTCTAATATTTGGCCTACCAATCCTCTTTTTAAAATGTTAGGGAAATAATCAAAATCAACTCTCCTGTGGGGACTGCGCAATGTGCACGCACACGGCGGCGTGTCCGAGCAGGGAAACTCATCCATCTCGTCAAACGTTCAGCACTGCCTTGGGGTGGAGTTGGTTGTTTTTAAGCGAACACATTAAGAGCGTTCTGAGTTCTAATTCCCGAATGCACCAACAGTGCTGCTGCGTTAGCACTCCACGCACGACTGCGGCAGCGGACTGTGCCATCCTGTCACCAACGCCAGGTCGGCGGCCACAGCTGAGGAGGACTTGGTTTCATCTGTCACTTCACTCTTTCCAACCATGTTTTCTTCACGTATTACCTGTACAATCCAAACCCAAAGTGATGCTTCCGAGGCTCGTTTACAACCTGAGGGAAATGTCTGGAATGCAATTTTAAGGAAGAAAATAACCAATCCAGTCATTTAAAAAAAAATCTCAATTATGAGAATGCACAGCGAGGAGGTTAAAGGGAATTAAGTCAGTGGACATGGAAATTCACCCACGGAACTTGGAGCAACTCCAGACACACACTCAGGCTAATAATGGCAGGAAGCGAATTCCGACAACAGCTTAACTTGGCAAGGCAGAATAAGGTGCGACTGGCTTCCCGGCCCAGGGGCCGGCAGGCCATCCCGGGGTCCCCCGGGAAGGTCAGCCCCGGGGGTGCCGCCCCAGGTCGCGGGGGTCCCGGCAAACGGCCTCCGCCGCGTCCCTCAGCCCGGGCGCGGGGCTCCCCGCAGGCACGGGGGTCTCACGGGACGGCCGGGCCGGGTCCACTCCCTCAGAGGAAGGGGCGGGCCCCTCAGGGCTGAGGCGATGCCCCGGCCACCGCCTCCTGGAGACGGGGGAGCGCTTACCTCCCCACAGCCCCCGCGGACGCCGAGCGGAGCAGCCAGGGCGACCCCGGCCTCGGCAGCCCCCGGAGTGCCAGTCGCCCGCGCAGGGTTCGCCCCCGGCCGACCCGGGCGCAGCGGCCCGCGCAGGCGCAGAGCGGGCCCCGCGGCGCCCACGCCCCCCGCCGGCGCCTGCGCGCTGCCCTCGGTCCGAACCGGAAGCGGCTGACCAAGGCCGGAGAGGGCTGGGATGGGGACAGGATGGTGTTTCCGCTGTCCAGGGAGCGTTGGACAGGCAGGGAACTGTTGACAGACGGAGTGAAAGGGGGCGCCGTCCCTGGGGGAAGCCCCCCGCGGGGACAGATGCACCCCGGAGGGAAGTGACCTCCTAGGGCAGCGGGAGGGCAGGATCTTAACTGGGTGCTTAACTATGGATGCTCAATTCATTGTCCACACCGTTTAATCACTGTAGTTCAGGCAGATTTTGCTACTGTCCTAACTCGTTAGTCACATGAAGGCAAAGATATGACTAGTGCCATGGGTCCAGGTTAGTCAGTCCCAAGTGTCAATCAACCCCATCAGTGACAGCGGAGCGCACACCCACACCCTAATGGACATAGAGATGACAGCAGCCTCGGACGTGAGTGAGGAAATAGTTTTCGTTCCTTTCGTTTCTAATTTAAGGCAGAATGGCAGGAAGAGAGATCTTCCATCCTATGGTTCACTCCTCAAACGGTCGCAAACGCCAATTCGAAGCCAACAGCCGCAGCACTAATCCCATCCTGGTCTCCAGAGTGTGGGTCACAGGGAGCCATGGCCGCATTAGCAGAGAGCTGCGTGGGAAGTGGAGTGGCCAAGTGCAGCTTCATCCACTACACCACAACATCCCCATCCCCAACCCAGTTAGGATCTTGGCAAGTTATTTGTCAAGTTAGTTTAAGACCCTTCAAGGTGTTCACATGAGCCGATTCCAGAACAGAAAGATTTACACATATGAAAAGATATGTCGATGTTAATGATTTACAAATTGGCAGCATTCTAGGGCCCATTGTGGTAGCCTAGTGGTTCAAGTCCTCACCTTGCCCATGCTGGGATCTCATATGGGTGCTGGTTTGTGTCCCAGCAGCCCTATTCCCATCCAGCTCCCTGCTTATACCCTGGAAAAGCAGTTGAGGATGGCCCAAAGCCTTGGGACCCTGCACCTGCATGAGAGACCTGGAAGAAGCTTCTGGCTCCTGGCTTTGAATCAGCTCAGCTCTGATGGCAAAGTCTATCATCTTTCTAGTGTTCCATAATTTCCAATGTTTTCTTTTTTCTAGTAATGAGGGCAAAACATCTTAATAATAGAGAATGCTTAAAAAACTACTGCTGAATGTGTATTTAAGTGAACCATTCAGCACCCAATCAGTGTACCATATCTAAATACAATGTTTCTGTGAGTCACAGGAGGCGGCCCAAGGGTAGATGAATACACATACTCACACTGGAGTGGGAAGTGTGGAATGTGGAGAAGTGGGAGAGAAAGAGAGAGATGGGCCTTCTACTTACTGGCTAACACCCCAAATGGCTGCAGTAGCCAGGGCTAGACCAGGCCAAAGCCAGCACCCAAGAGCTCCATCCCAACCTGTTTCATGGATGACCAGGATTCAGGCACATGCCACATCCCAGGTGTGCTGGTTGATGTCCCAGAGCCAGAACAAAGGGTGGACATTTCTGGGCTTGCTATATGAGTTTGCTTCCAGGTCATGACACAAGGACTCGACTCTTTGTCAGATGCTCTCAGTTCCCCTTTCTCCTGAGCACATGACAGTGGTGCACTTCCTGCCTCCCTGTGGTTGAACAGGACTGCGTGATCGGCTTAAGACAACTGGCTGTGAGCAGAAGTGACCTGTGTCATTTCTAGTTGGAGTCCTTACTCCTGATGCCATATGGTCCCTCAGCTTTCTGGGGGATCACAAGGAACAGAACGCCCCAGAGCAGGAAAGACTTTGTTGTCATCTGAGAAGAGGCAGGTAGGGGAGGGGTCTGTCCTGGCAGGTAAGCAGGAAGTCAGTTATCCCCTTGGGCCTTGGGGGTGGTCCTCTGGGGATGCAGAGACTGTGCCTCCCTGAGTCACCCAGCATGGTTGTCCTGTGTGAGTGAGTCCTTCTATGCTTCTGGTGAGCATCTTTTGCCATTTTTGTGCACTTCCTTGTGAAAGCAAGCTTACCTGCACTGTTTCTCAGAGTGATAGTTGAAAACGTCCAGCGCCTGTGAACAGAGAGCAAAGTCCAAGCATCAGCGTCATACACCAAACACTACCCCAGGTGATAATGTTGTGGCATGAGATAGCTGGCCCCTCCACCGCAGCCTGCACCCAACACCTTGATGTGGGATTCCCCAGGCTCCACAACTGTGAGAAATAACCTTGTCTTGTTTTAAAAGCTTCCCACTTTACAGTATCTTTCTGTGGCAGCCAGAACAGACTAGAACATTGAATAAACTATGGGTTCACCTTGCGGCGTCCAATATCACTTATGGCCACTGATTTTATCTGCACTGCATGCACTCTACCCCACAGCTGGACTGTTTTTTCTTTTTTCACAGTTGGACTTTTTAAAGCATATCTCGCATATCTTCTCGTCTGAAGACTTTTCTGCGTTTATGAAGGCACTTTATAAAGCAAGTTAGTCATGTATCCAGTGCCAAGACTCAGCTTTAATACGGACAACATTGTTTAATCTTTATTTTTACCCATCCATATTAGTTTGAAGCAAATTCCATAACCTGCATCCTTTCATCCATAAATATTTCAGCATATATTTCTAAAAGAGCCTAGCCCTTTGCAAAACTGTAATAATGCCATTATTTTACACTTAGATATAATTTTAATGTTGCATTTTTACTTTTCTACTGGTCTATCAAATTACAAAAACAAATTCAAGGAGAAAACTTGTTCAAACTGTTAGTTACTTTTGTTTATCTATTATCTCAGCTAAATTGCTCTACAACAACTTGAAACTTACAGGCATATCAGGGTCTGGCGTGATGGCTTGATTGACTAATCCTCTACCTACAAGTCCTGGGAACCCATAAGGGCACAGGTTCATGTCCTGGCTGCTCCACTTCCCATCCAGCAGTGGAGGATGGCCCAAAGCCTTTGGATCCTGTACCCACATGGCAGACCCGGAAGAAGCTCCTGGTTTTGGCTCGGCTCAACTCTGGCTGTTGCAGCCATTTAGGGAGTGAATCAGCAGATGGATCTTTTTGCCTCTCCTTCTCACTGTAAATCTGCCTTTCCAATAAAAATAAATACTTTTTTTGAAGATACAGCCATTTCAGATTAGTTCACAGATGTGGTCACTTCACATTTAGAAACGGCACAAGAAGACTCACCGGAACGCTGCGGGCTGAGCTCAAGTCCTCTGGCATAAGCACCCACTGCTGGCCTGACTGCAGGCTGAGCTCAAGTCCTCTGGCAGAAGCACCCACTGCTGGCCTGACTGCACTCCTCCTGGGCTTGTAAACTGAGGCCGGAAAGAGAACTGAAATTCAAACCAGGGAAACGAAACTAAACATCCTATTTGTTGGTCTCTTGGTATTTTTTGTGAAGAAGCTTAAAACATAATTAACACTTCTCTGATTTATAGCAGTTTAACATTGTGCATAATTAGGAGGAAATTGAACTGGGATTATCATCTAGCTTCCAAATCTGTACTCAGGAAAAGAGGTTATATTTCCTAACATGGGGAGGAGGCTCAGCTTTCCCAGCCGAGAAGAGGATGAAGTGCCCATCCCAGGACAGCAGAGACCAAGCCCTGGGGCATGCAGTGACCCTCTCACAGCCTTTGCTATGACTGTCACAGTCTCAAGGGCTTGGGGACACTGTCTGAGAGTGGGTGTCTGAGCCAATGTGGAGCCCGAGAGGCAGGTGCAGGCTGGACAGCAACATCTGGAGCCATCAGAGCAATGGCAAAACAGCAGCCGTGGAGAGAACAAACCACTGGCTTAGTCTCTGGAGTCAGGATTGGTCAGGACTCCACCTAGGGAGGGAGGGAGGGAGGGACTGCCTGCTTGGATTTCCCCTCCACCCTTAGAGTGAGTTAAATGTGAGCGAGGAAAATAAGGGCATACGATGTTTCTTGTCTCCTGGTATTGTAGAATAAAGTTCCTGCCAACTCTGTGATCTCTCAGTAAAAATTATATAAGTAAAATGAGACTTCTGTCCTCTGTTACAGGCACCCATCAGCTCTATGTACCACCTTTTCTTTAAGAAATCGTTTTTTAAATAGGAATTTGATAATCAGCTCAAATGTCAAGGGAGTGATAACTAGAAGAATCTTTTCTGTTTACTTCACAGTTTATCCTCATGTTTAAAAAACTCAGAATCCTGTGGACCATGAAACTTTCGTGCCTCGGAGTGTATTGACTAAGCAAATCTCTGTCCATTTGTCCACCTGTGGAGAGTTGAGCTGAGCGAAGAGTCGTGGTTCCCTTCGCTCTTTGTCCTGAATTAAGACTCTGCAAGAATGCGCGATGTGATTGAAGAGTGACCTCCACGGCAGCCGGGTTAACGTGGGACTGTGCCGTGTGTTCCGTCGTGAGGCATTTTTCTACTATGGCCATTTCCCTGCTCATTTCCTTCCTAACATCATCCTGGACAGGATCTCTGGCCTTAAGTGAACACCATTATTTTTCCTAGATTGAATTGTCTTCCACAAGTATAATCTGTTTTCATTTCAAGGCTTGCTTGACGTTTCAATTGCAAGCTGGACTTGGCTCGATGCCCTTGCATGCGTTCATTTAGTTTTGATCGGTCTGAGGGCCTCAGGAGATGCCGAAACAGGAATCGTAGGCTAGCCACTTATTTTTCTTAACATCCAGATAAAAGTGGTTAAAATGCCCAGGAACTTGTTCTCTGAAGTCAGCACAGACTACCCCTTTCCAAATGCATTTGAAAGGCAGGTAGAAAGACCAAGCGAGATGAGGCAGGGGAAGGAGAGAAAGAGGAAGAGGGAAAAACAGAGAAAGAGAAATCTCCCATTTGCTCATTTTGTCCCCAAATGGCTGCAACAGCCAGGAACAGATCAAAATGAAAAGAGGAGGCAGGATCTCCTTCAGGTCTCCCACGAGGGTGGCAGGGCCCAAGCTCGTGGGCCGTCCTTAGCTGCCTTCCCAGGCACATGAGCAGGGAGATGGGTCAGAAACAGCAGCCAGGACCCAAACCAGTGCTCCTGTATGTGATGCTTGGGTCTCAGGTAGCACCTTAAACCACTACACCACACTACACTTGGGCCACTTTTTAATCTCAATTTAAAAAGACTGTTTCCTGAGTAGACTCAAGCAGGCTTTCAGCCAAGAAGCTGCAATGGCTTACAGGGATAGACAGAGTTCAAAGATTATACCTTTAGGACAGGTGTTTTATCCCAGTGGAGTGCCTGGATTGGAGAGCTGGCTGTGGCTCCCGACTGGATTCCTGCTGATCGGTACCGCAGAGGGCAGCAGGCGATGGAAGCAGCCGGGTTCCTGCCAGTCACATGGAAAATGCAGCCTGAGTTCCTGTCTCCGGCTTCAGCCTGGCCCAGCCCTGCCAGCTCATCTGTGGAGCGGACCAGATAGCACATGGTCTGTAAATGATGGTTGAACTTCAGAATTAAAGCATTACAGCAATGCTTGAATGCTATTCCTACTTGAATATCCTGAACACATCTCCAATTGAACAAGTGCAAGGCTTAATTATGTCCTCTTGTTGAGCTCCTCCATGTCTTCGGGAACAGGAGTCATCACCATTGCTCCCCTTGCTCCTGCCGCACCTCCACCCACTGCTGGTTCTCTGCACTTCTTTCCTCCCTCGCAGCTGCCCCCGCTACCCCAAGCCACCTCTCTGGCTCTCCGCGGTACCTCTGAGCTGACCTCTGCTTCCGTTCTTGCCCCTCCCTCCTGTGCTCTGCAGAAGCCAGAATATATGAGCAGAGAAATACACCGGGCCATTCTACTTCCCTGGCAGGAACTTGACCACGGCGTGAGGATGTCTCAGCTGGCCTTCATTTCCCGAGGAGTCAGCCCATCACCTTCCACTAGTGTCTGTGTAGTCCTGCCTTCCCCTGCTGATGGGCACGGTGAATGTGTGTTTATTATACGCCTTAGAATATGCTTGTGCTGTCGCCCTTGACATGCCTTTACCGTAGCTGCTGAAACTCGTGACGATTTGCAGGAGAGTTTGAACGTTCAGTTTCTAGTTGGGTTTATTTTCCATAATTCCCTGGAGGATTTTAATGTGGCATATTTTGAGGGGAGTTAAGCTTTCAGTTCTTATTAATACAATTAAATATCTGCTCAGCACAACGATAAAATAAGTAGTTTGCAGGAATTACTGCAATGCCCAAATGCAATCTAAGAAACTTCTGCCAACAATATATAATGTATATAATTATAATGCTAAATATAACTATATTCCCACAATATTACAAAAGATTATTATCCAATTTCCTGTAAATCTGGCACAGAATTAAAATTGCATTGCAGAATATTTAACATCAGAATAATAAATATGACTCAGAAGTGACTAATTGTACTTAATATTCTATATAAATTCTAGGTGCTATAATATCCGTCATTTTGACAGGAAAAAGAGCTATAAAGTAAAGTATTTTTTATGCAATTCTGCCAAGATGTAAACTGGGATAGTTTTTAAGCTGAAGTTTAAAGACCTGTTATGCCTAAATGCTGCAAAGCTAATTAGAATACATAAAAAGGAAATTAGAATGCATAAAAAGGAAAGGGAAATGAAATATATTTCATATGTTAGTTGCTTCTGCTCAGTAACTAGTTATGTGAATTCTTAAGGGAGCATACTTACAGATTCCATTATCTCCAGCCACTGGCTTTTCCTTTCTTTATTGTTAGATTTGGTGTCAGAGATGAGGGAAGACAGTGTGCCCCCATGTACAAGTTGGCACCCTCAGTACCCACAGCAGTCAGGGCTGGCCCAGGCCAAACTAAGGAGCTGGGAGCGCAGTCTGCCCCCGCTTGGCGCCAGGATTCACAGTACCTGAACCCTCACTGCTGCGTGGCAGAGCGTGCAACAGCAGCCAGCGAGAGACAGGACCCAAGGCAGCTGTTCCGTGGGTGTTTATATGCCACGTGCCCTCCTCTAAGGTCCCCACTATTTATTTATAAAGATTTATTTATTTTTATCGGAAAGGCAGATTTACAGAGAGAAGGGGAGACAGAAAGCTCTTCCTTCTGCTGATTCACTCCTCAATGGCCATACAGCCAGAGCAAGCAACTCTGAAAGCAGTAGCCAGGACACTATTCTGGCTCCCTCACAAGGGTTCAGGATCCACAGGATTTGAGCTACCCTCCATTGCTTTCCCAGGTCACAAGCAGGAAGCTGGATGGGAAGTGGAACAGCTGGGACACAAGTCAGTACCCATATGGGATCCTGGTGCATGCAAGGCAAGGACTTTAGCCACTAGGCTACTGCAGTGGGCCCCCAGAGTTTTTAAAATATGTGAGCTTCTCAGTAGGCCATATTAAAAGAAAATTATAATTTACATTTATAATATTTAGGCTTTTATTCCTTCAGCTGTCAATCAATAAAATAAAGCAGTATCTATTGTTTCTCAGACAAACTTTCCGCTTATAATTGAGGATTTGAAACTGAAAACAATCTCTTTCATTGAGAATGTTAAAATATATATATTCATACATATGAATATATGTTTGCAGTGGTGTCTGTATACATCTATGTGTCTTTACAGCATACACATAATTATGTGAGCGCAAATAGCAATTTTAAACCCTTGTGGGGATAAGCAGGGGTGGATGCAATGAGTCATTCTGTGTCCTGACTTAGTCACCTGCCAGACAGGGATAACGATACAGACCTCCCAGGACGGCTGCGCAGATGAAGTGACTGAAGTCATGGGGAGAGCCTCAAAAGCTTCAAGAAGCCAAGCAAACAAGATGTCATAATTATGGGGTGAGTAGAAAATAGTGACTTTGAAGAGGAAAAGAGAAAGATGAGCAGCTGTCATCACGAGGGAAGGTCTTTTGGCATCTTTGGGGCTTCCAGTCTGGTCTTGGGCTGGGAAAGCAGCAAGCATTCCCGAAGTGGGAGGGATGCCCAAAGGGGAGCCACCTCAGCGGCAAGGCCACGGTCAAGGCACACGGAAGTCAGGCTAGACAGACAGGAGGTGCAGCAGGTGTTCTACCAAGTTCAAACATACGTAACTGTGGTCTCTACCAGGCAGGGCGGGCACGTGTTGGCAGAGCATCCTGCTTTTCAGCCTTCCAAGCCTGCCCACAGGTCTCTCTCCCAGGTCCTTGCTTTCCCTGTGGCAGATGTCCCCAATGAAGCATGTGCATCCGACTGACCCGGGACGACGGACTCTCCCTCCGCTGGGGGCCACGTCGCCCCAAACTAATGAAATCGCAGTCCTGGCATCCTGGCACACGTTCACATGAGTGTACAGCTTGGAAACGTTCGCCAGCTTTTCCTCTTTTAAATAAATATTTATGTTGAATCCAAATTCTTTTTGTAGTTTTCTATGGTTTCTAAAGAAGACCTTTTAAGTGTCATGGTCTCCAGGTCTCACAACATCTGCAACCACCCCTGGAGATCAGAATAAGAATTAAATGAGAGTGTCACATCACTACGTGAGCGAGGAAATTTTGATAAAGAAAAAAGCAGTAAGTTGAGGGCAAAGCTTGTAAACGCAAGCCTGTTGACGTGACAAGCTCCATGTTCCTAGGGGCCTCCTGCAAAACACCAACGTGAGAGCCCTCAGAGCCATTAGAGAATGGCAAGGCAGTGACAGAACACTCAACCAAGGTGCTGCCCAGCTGGCCCGGGAGGACCACCCAGCTGTGCGTCCACGAGGTCAGCCTTGTCCGTAGACAGCATTAGGTCTTACGGGCCCAGTGTAAGGAAGGTGCCAGCTCGGAAACCATGGACCCCATGGACCCAATGGACCCCATGGAAAGGACCTTCTGATACTTGGGGGCCAGTTGCCAGGTGGGGCCCTGGAGTTGCCACTTCTGTTGATTTTTAGAGACATCAGAAACCTGTTTGCAGTCAGCTGGTTTTTAAATACTGGCAGTTCAAATGAAAACTTTTGTGAAAATTGTTCCTAATAAATTTGCAAGAAGATGGTGGAAAGTGAAATGGTAAAAGTTTTACGTAGATGAATTGTTTTATAGAAATCATCTCTTTTAAATTTGTTTTTTATTATGTGAAAAGTAGAGTTACAGAGAGACAGAGGGACAGACAGAGAGCTCTTCCACCTGCTGGCTCACTCCGCAGGTGATGGCAACAGCCAGAGCCAGGTCAGGCTAAGCCAGGAGCCTCTTCTGGGTCTCCCATGTTAGTGTGGGGGTGGAAGCCTGTGGGCCAGCTTCCGCTGCTTTCCCAGTGCTTTAGCAGGGAGCTGCATAGGAAGTGGAGCAGCTGGGACTAGCACCCATACGGGATGCTGGTGTAGCAGGTGGCAGCTTCACTAGCTATGCTCACAATATCAGCCTCTATAGCTATGACCTCAGCCGGCATTACACTCATAGCGTTCCATCACAGACCCGTGCAGACTCACAGGTTTATCACAGTCAGCTTCGTTTCTCTCTCACGCAACTTGGAATCTCCTGGGGATTCAGTTAAACAGGCCAGATACGCCAGGCCTGGATTCCAAGCCATAAGTTCAGTTTAGGTCTGCTCTATGCAGTTCTCTTCTTTAAGAAAAACTGGTTTATTGAGAGAGAGAGAAAGACAAATACCCATCCATACTGGGAGGGGAAGCAGAGACCCAACTGGCAGGAGGCTGGAGAAGTTGATGGGAACTCCCGGCCCATGAGCAAGCACACCGAGGCCACAGCCTAGCCTCCTCCTTGAGCTCTGGCATTCGTCCTCAATAATCAGAAAGAAGTTGGCCTAACTCCACACTTGGCACTTGCTTCTCTATTTAGGTGCGTTTGTGCTTTGTGGATTTTTCCATGACAAATCACCATTCCACATGCTTGGCATTCACTGTTGGCAATCAGAACCCTCAAGTCCTGGGACCACTTTGATGGGTCTCTATCAGGCGTGGCTGCTGAGCAACACATCCCAGAACTACACTTGAAAAATCTGTATTGTGACCGGTGCTGTGAGGTTGTAAGCTAAGTCTCCTTCTGCAGTGCGGGCATCCCATATGGGTGCTGCTTAGTGTCCGGCTGCTCCACTTCCCATCTGCCTCTCTGCTAGCGGCCTGAGAACGCAGTGGAGGATGGCTCAAGTCCTTGAGCCTCTGAACCCATGTGAGAAATCTGGGAGAAGCTCCTGGCTCCTGGCTTTGGATCAGCTTAGCTCCAACCATGCGGTCATTTGAGGAGTGAACCAATGGATGGAAGATTCTCTCTCTGTAGCTCTGCCTTTTAAATAAAAACTATAATAAATGTCTAAAAATATGTACATATATGTTAAAAGAAAAAGGACCGGTTACAATACATTGCTGAGTAAAACTTCAGCATCTTATAAGTAGCCCCCCACTAAGGGAAAAGGAAGGAAACCCTCACAGTCCACCAGCCTCACACATTTCTGAGACACAAGGACAGACTTCATGGCTGGCCTGCTCTTCTAAGGAACCCGAAGGCTTGCACTGATTACTACAAGTTAATTATCCATTGAAGCTTATCTCAAGGCAAAGTGAGGTTGCAAGGAGTTCTGTTTTGAATGACTCATCGGAAGCATGAGAAAAATAAAAATTCCTGGGTTCCAAGGAGGACCCACCCAGGAGGGTGTGGATCCTAATTCAAGTTTGCTGTTAATGCAGCCCCTGGGAGGCAACAGGGGCCGGCTCAGAGACTCCTGTAGGGATGTGGGTGCAGCGTCACCCCCCGAATGTCTGTAGTGGCCAGGGCCGGGCTGGTCCAGAGCCAGCAGCCTGTTCCAGGTGGGGCCAGCCTCCACTGTGTTGGCAGGCACCGCAGCAGCAGGCGGGATCTGAAGTCGGGCAGCTCCCCTCCCTCCCAGACGCTGGCGCTGTGGGCTGGGTCTCCGTCCATCTTGCCACAGCACTGCTTCCTGTCAATGTTTCACTCCCCTACATTTCACACTTCAGTGAGTGCTGGAAAAGGAAACACATATTAAGAAAGAGCCTTTTTTTGAGTTGGTGTGGTGCTGCAGGTAAAGCCGCTGCCTGTGATACGGACATCCCCTGTGGGCACCGGTTTGAGACCCGGCTGTTCCACTTCCGACCCCCCTGCTAATGGTTGAGAAAAGCAGCAGCAGATGGCCCAAAGTTTGAGGCCCTGCACCCATGTGGGGGACTTAGATGGAGCTCCTGGCCCTCGGTTTTGGCCCAGTGTAACTCTCAGACATCCTGGCAGGGGGAAGGGGATCTCTCTGTCCCCTCCCCTGGCCAGAATTCCCCTCCCCCTCAGAAAATATTCAAAGAAAAAAAATTTTTTTTTCTCTTTTGCAGCCTGGTTTTATTTAGCTCTTCACTTAACTGGGCCTGCAGGCTTTCCTGTTCGGATCACAGGTGATGGGATTTCCATCCTGCAGCCACGAAACCTGAGCAGAGGGTCCAGGTGAAAGCTGACTGCCCAGCCACGCAGGGGTGTCCTTGCTGCACACCTCTCTGCTGGTCGAGCCAGCACGTCCACTCCAGGTGCCACGCTGACAGGCCTGAGGTCCGATGGAGCACGTGGTGCCTGGGGGTGTCCTACCTGGAGTTGCTGGGCGTTGGCTTCCTTCCCATCAGAGCCCTGGCGATGCGGCTGTTGAAGCGGTTGTTGCGGGCCTTCTTACTGAGACACACGTCCAGGCTCCGGTAGGACCGGGCCTTTCGCTGAAAGGGCCTGGAAGCCGGCAGCCTCTCGGCCTCCGACGACCCGCTGCTCTGCGCCGCCCGGTGCAAGGTGATGAGAAGGGGCCTGTGGGGCAGGGCCCGGCTCGGGGGCAGGTGGGGCTCTCGCAGGAGCTCCAGCCTCCGCTCCAAGATGCCGCACTCATTCTCCAGCAGGGCTGCCACGAGGTGCAGCGAGCGGGTGTCGCGGGTCAGCTTGTCCACCTGCTGCTCCAGCTCCCACGTGGCGGCCACCAGCTTGCCGGCCTGGCTCTGCGCGTCGCCCCCGTCGTTCTCCACCGCATCCCTGAGGTCCTTCTGAGCCACCTGACAGGACCTGATGAGCTGGCTGAGCTCGGTCTGCTGCTGGCTCCAGTGCTCAGCCTCCCGCAGCAGCTGCTCCATGCTGCGCCGGAGCGTGGCGGCCTCCTCGGGAGCGGGAAGTGGACGGTTGCCCCCCTGCTCCGTGTGGCCTGGCATCTCCCCCGCGGGCCCTGCTTCTTCCACCTGCGGTGCCGCCGGTCCAGGAACCTGTGCTGTGTCCACCGCGACCTGGGGCTCTACCAGCGTCCGCCGCTGCTTTGCCACATGGTCCTTCTCTGGGTGCAAAGCGACAACCAAGTTTTTGAGCAGCAATTTATTCATCTTGTCGAGTCCTCGGATCCTTTCCTTGAGTTCTGACACGTCCTTGGAGATACTCGTCTCCTGGGCGTCAGCCACGTGGCCTTCGGGACCCATCATGTCCTGAAGAACATCTTTGATTTCCTTCAAGAGCGCTTCAAACTTGTGCAGGACTTGTGGGTCTGTTACTTGGCGGCCCCTATGGGTCCGGGAAGCGTACGGGCTGCAGGCCAGCCCGGGAACGGAGCCGATCTCAATAAGGGCCACGGTGACTGGGGCGTGCAGAGGCGCCGGCTCGGGACCAGGGGTGGCTTGACGGGCCAGGGAGGGGGAGGGCACCTGAGCGGAGCCATCCCTGCAGGCCATGGGGGTGGAAGAGAGCAGGATGCCAGGGACCCTGCCAGGCAGGATGTGGGGCACAGGCGGAGGCCTGAGTCAGGGCCTGGACTTGGAGAGGTGTGTCTAGGTGGCGGGTGGCATCTTGGGCGGTTGGGGTGGGGGAGGTGGGGGAGCTAGGAGGCCAAGGGCTGGACCTCCGTCTGCCCCCACTGGCATTCTGCTCTTTATTCCCTGATCCTAGCAACTGAGTCATTGTTCTGTCACAGCCATTGTGGCCTAGCCGAGGCTTCTGCCTCCTTGTGTCACAGTGGAAGTCAGCAAGTCGGGCAACAGCCTGGGCTGTGAACTGCCCCTGCAGGAGGGGCTCCTTGCTGAGCCTGCAGTGGGGCTGCCTGACTCCACCCCCACTGCCCCTCACCTCGGCCCTCTGGCACTGTGAGAAGGGAGGCAGGTGCCCCGAGCGGCAGAGGGAAAAAGCCCTCTCTGGGTATTTGGACCGACTCGCCTGCAGACTAAAGGTTTCCAGAAAGTAGAGAGAAGAGGCAGCTGTTTGTGCCGTAGCTAAGACACTGCTTGGGGGTATTTGCATGCCACACTGAAGTGCCTGGATTCGAATATGGCTGTGCTGCCCTGTGTGGATGCTGGTGTAGGTTTCAGGTGCTCCACCAGGAATCCAGCTCCCTGCTAATGTGCAGGGACAGCAGGCCTGGCACCCATGTAGGAGATCCGGAAGAAACTCCTGGCTCCTGGCTGCCTTCTGGCCTGGGCGTCTGGGAAGCGAACCAGCAGGTGGAAGACTATAGTTCAGCCTCTCAGATAAGTCTTTTTTTTAATTTTAATAAAGACAAAGTTGATCATGTTATTATATTTGCACCCAGCATCATCAAAAAGCTGCAAATGCGGGACTGCTGTTGTGGCACGACACGTGATGTCGCCGTCTGTAAGGTTAACGTGCCATGGTGGAGTGCCAGCCCGGGTGCCAGGCTGCCCTGCTTCCCGCTGATGCCTTGGAGCAGAGGAAGCTGACACAGAGATGCAGAGACAAAACTCCCCTTAAGCTGTGTCGGCTAGCCAGTCAGTGAGGGGGTGTCAGCTAGCCAGTCAGTGACGGGGTGTCGGCTAGCCAGTCAGTGAGGGGGTGTCGGCTAGCCAGTCAGTGAGGGGGTGTCTGCTAGCCAGTCAGTGAGGGGGTGTCTGCTAGCCAGTCAGTGAGGGGGTGTCGGCTAGCCAGTCAGTGAGGGGGTGTCGGCTAGCCAGTCAGTGAGGGGGTGTCGGCTAGCCAGTCAGTGAGGGGGTGTCGGCTAGCCAGTCAGTGAGGGGGTGTCTGCTAGCCAGTCAGTGAGGGGGTGTCGGCTAGCCAGTCAGTGAGGGGGTGTCGGCTAGCCAGTCAGTGAGGGGGTGTCGGCTAGCCAGTCAGTGAGGGGGTGTCTGCTAGCCAGTCAGTGAGGGGGTGTCGGCTAGCCAGTCAGTGAGGGGGTGTCGGCTAGCCAGTCAGTGAGGGGGTGTCGGCTAGCCAGTCAGTGAGGGGTGTCTGCTAGCCAGTCAGTGAGGGGTGTCGGCTAGCCAGTCAGTGAGGGGGTGTCGCTAGCCAGTCAGTGACGGGGTGTCGGCTAGCCAGTCAGTGAGGGGGTGTCGGCTAGCCAGTCAGTGAGGGGGTGTCTGCTAGCCAGTCAGTGAGGGGGTGTCTGCTAGCCAGTCAGTGAGGGGGTGTCGGCTAGCCAGTCAGTGAGGGGGTGTCGGCTAGCCAGTCAGTGAGGGGGTGTCGGCTAGCCAGTCAGTGAGGGGGTGTCGGCTAGCCAGTCAGTGAGGGGGTGTCTGCTAGCCAGTCAGTGAGGGGGTGTCGGCTAGCCAGTCAGTGAGGGGGTGTCTGCTAGCCAGTCAGTGAGGGGGTGTCTGCTAGCCAGTCAGTGAGGGGGTGTCGGCTAGCCAGTCAGTGAGGGGGTGTCGGCTAGCCAGTCAGTGAGGGGGTGTCGGCTAGCCAGTCAGTGAGGGGGTGTCTGCTAGCCAGTCAGTGAGGGGGTGTCGGCTAGCCAGTCAGTGACGGGGTGTCGGCTAGCCAGTCAGTGAGGGGGTGTCGGCTAGCCAGTCAGTGAGGGGGTGTCGGCTAGCCAGTCAGTGAGGGGGTGTCGGCTAGCCAGTCAGTGAGGGGGTGTCTGCTAGCCAGTCAGTGACGGGGTGTCTGCTAGCCAGTCAGTGATGTTGGGGTGTCTGCTAGCCAGTCAGTGAGGGGGTGTCTGCTAGCCAGTCAGTGAGGGGGTGTCTGCTAGCCAGTCAGTGAGGGGGTGTCGGCTAGCCAGTCAGTGAGGGGGTGTCTGCTAGCCAGTCAGTGAGGGGGTGTCTGCTAGCCAGTCAGTGACGGGGTGTCTGCTAGCCAGTCAGTGAGGGGGTGTCGGCTAGCCAGTCAGTGAGGGGGTGTCTGCTAGCCAGTCAGTGAGGGGGTGTCTGCTAGCCAGTCAGTGAGGGGGTGTCTGCTAGCCAGTCAGTGAGGGGGTGTCTGCTAGCCAGTCAGTGATGTTGGGGTGTCGGCTAGCCAGTCAGTGATGTTGGGGTGTCGGCTAGCCAGTCAGTGACGTTGGGGTGTCGGCTAGCCAGTCAGTGAGGGGGTGTCTGCTAGCCAGTCAGTGAGGGGGTGTTGGCTAGCCAGTCAGTGACGGGGTGTCAGCTAGCCAGTCAGTGACGTTGGGGTGTCTGCTAGCCAGTCAGTGATGTTGGGGTGTCGGCTAGCCAGTCAGTGACGTTGAGGTATCTGCTAGCCAGTCAGTGACCGGGTGTCGGCTAGCCAGTCAGTGATGTTGGGGTGTCTGCTAGCCAGTCAGTGATGTTGGGGTGTTGGCTAGCCAGTCAGTGACGCTGGCATGGTAGAAAAAGGAGGTGTTTGCTTTCGGGCACAGAGCAAGGGGCCAGGCAGCCATGGCTTACTTCCCAGGCTCCCGGAGGAGTTGGAGTGAAGGTTCTTACAGATTAAAGCTGGGGCTGATGATGAGGGCGTGTCCACGTCCAGGGCTGGCCAGCCATGCTCATGACCTTTCATTGGACGGTGATGCTGTGCTCATGGAACTGTCTGATGGCCAGGTAGGCTCCGCTCAGCCTGCATTGTCCGGGCCTACTTGTGCATGCAACTCCGCGTTTGCAGAAACAAGCATTTGTAGCTATTTATTTCATTCCTTGGATTATAATCCAGTATTATCACACGCATTCTTGCTAATAAACATACAAATAGAGCCTGACGCGGTAGCCTAGTGGTTCAAGTCCTCATCCTGAACATACTGAGAGTCCATATGGGCACCGGTTCTAATCTCAGCAGCCCCGCTTCTCATCCAGCTCCCTGCCTGTGGCCTGGGAAAGCAGTCAAGGACAGCCCAAAGCTTTGGGCCCCTGCGCCCACATGGGAGACCCAGAAGTGGTTACGGGCTCCTGGCTTCAGGTCGACACAGCTCCAGCCATTGCGGCCACTTGGGGAATGAACCAACGGATGGAAGATCTTCCTCTCTGACTCTCCTCCTCTACATATATCTGACTTTGCAATAAGAATAAATAAACCTTTTTAAAAAGAAACATATGAATAATATTAAATGATGACACATTTTGGTATGCTGAAATATCTTTGCTTCATGTAATTATTTAATGGGGATTTTTGGTATCGAAGAATAGTAACTGATCGCTAGTGGTTAAAGATGAAAGATGTAATTATATTCATAAAAGAGGCCATGCAGGCTGTAATTTTTTAATTTTTAAAAATTTTGTGAAGTGGCGCGTGGGGCCATCTGGGGTTAGCCGCGACTTTTCCGGCACGTGTGTCCCCTGTGGGGGTGGCCGCAGCTGGTGCCTGTGACCACAAGTGCTAACAAAGCCAGCATCTGTAAACACAACAAAACAAAACAACTCAAGAAATAGGCACAGACAGAGGCAGCTCCCACCTGCTGGCGCACTCTCCAAATGTCCATCATGGACAGGTCTGGGCCACGCGGAAGTCAGGAGCCACGTACCCCATCCCGGGACCCCACATGGGGGGCTGGGGACTGACCCCTCAGCGGTCCACCTGCCCCCTCCCCATCCCTTGGCAGGGGGAACCCAGGCACCCAGAGAAGGGAGGCGGCTTGTTAAACTGTGTCCACTTTGTGCGGGATGTGGTTTTAAGCAGCATGAGTTGTCTGAGACCTCTAGATGTGACAGTCATTTTTATGGAGCTAGTGCAGAGGGGAAATTGTTAATCCAAGGCAAAGTGCAGGGGTCTCTGAGTCAATACTTCCAGAAAACCTTTTCCCTCCACAGGTGCTCTTCTTCATTATGGCCACCAGGCGGAGCTGTGGGCTTGAAAAGTGACTGTGTAGGAGCTACACCCTGAGGCTTAGCACCTGCAACCCCACAGAGCGCGTGCCACAGCTGGCGGCATCCCCACCGCAGGGATGCCAAGCAGGCGTCTTCGCTCCCAGCTGTTCATGGTGTGACTCCCTGAGGCAAGTGGATTATATAACGCAAACATTATTATATGTTTGCATGGGAAACAGATTTACTTCCTCCCAAATGCTCACGAAAGATGGGATCGGGGATCCAGGAGCAACATGTATGTCTCCGACATGGTTTACAGGAACCCTTGTGCTTAAGCTATGCCCTCTGCCTCCCAGGATGTGCGACTGCAGCCAAGTAGATTGAAAGCACAACACCCCCTTCCCTCCCAGGTAAGTCTTCTGGTCAACCTCTCATTCGCTCCAACTGGTACCTGTGACGTTCAATAGTCCTTGCCTGTCATTTGCCTCGGGTGTGGGCAAGCACAAGTCTCTGCAAGAGGGGCTTGTGGCCAGCTCCCTGATAGGTCAGCTGGGATGGGCTTTCTGGAGCTCCCAATGGTGGTGTTTTTGTTAAGAGTAATACAACATATTAAACATTTTTAAAGAGTTATTTGTTTTTATCAGAAAGATTTACAGAGAGAAGGAGAGACAGAGAAAAAGATCTGTCTGCTGGTTCACTCCCCAATTGGCTGCAACGACCAGAGCTGAACTGATTTGAAGCCAGGAACCAGGAGCTTC